ACGCCGCCGCCGCCGCCGCAAGCCCCGTCGGGCGAGCAATTCGCCGACGGACACTGCCTCCGCTGCCCCTCCACCCACGCAGACCGATGCCACCGCCGTGGTTGCGGACACACCGCCGCCTACACCGCCTACGCCACCTACGCCCACGCCAGCCGAGACAACGCGCCTCCTATCCCAGCTCTCGAACCTGCTCACGGACTTTGTCAAAAAGTTCGGGCAGGCCGAGATGAAAAGTTCTCAAACTACCCCCACCGAAGACACCACCCCCGCACGCTGAAGTCCGTCGCCCGCTCGCTGGTCGCTCACTGGGCCTCCCACATGGGTCTCACCCGGTGGGCTTGACCGCGCCGAGGGCGACGTGTGAAGAAGCGGAGAGGGGGTAACTCGACCCAAGACCGTCCCGTTCGAAACGGGATGCGAACCCGATGTCTCCGAAATGGCTCACGCCAGTGGATTCCCCGCACGCCGCGGCGCCTTCGGCGCCTGCGACGCGCGAGATGAGGATTGCAAGCTCGACCTCTTTCATCTTTCATCGTTCACCGATACACCACTGCACATGCAACAAGCAACAAGCGCACTGAAGCTAGAAAAAAGGGACTTTCATTGAAGCTGCCAGCCCCATAGGCATCCGCACCCCACCGCACCGTATCGAACGGTTTTAGGGAAGAGCGCCACAGACGCCGTTCGATACAGTCTCTTTTATAGATTTCTGTCTTGCAAACTCTGGGCATTTTCTATTTGTTGCATAGTGAGAACCAGAACACAAGCAACACACAACATCATCATCATCAATATTACAGCTCTCACCAGCGTGGCTATTGCCACACTTGAAACATCTTGTAACAGATCTACACTGATTCTTAATATGACCATAGCGACAACAATTAAAGCACTGTACAGTAGGGAAAATATACAAATCAACAGGTAAAGCATTGAAGCAAAGAAAAACTCTTTTAGGTAAAACCTGGCCATCAAAAGTAAGCACCACAGTCTCCACTGGAGAGAATGTTGCTTTGCCGTCTACAATATGTTTCCTATTTATTCTCCTAACTTTGAGTATGTTTCCACACCCAAAAGGAACAGTAATATTTTCCATTATTTCTGCTTCAGACCAGTCAGTGGGAATACCTCTTACAACTCCCATACGAGTAATATTAAAACTAGGAATAAATGCTTTGTAGTTATGCTGTTTCAAAGCTTGATTGTCAATGAAAGCATTTGCATCTTCAAAATGAGTAAATGACAAAAGTAACCGATTCCTTCCAATTTTTTTAAGGCTTCCATTGTAAATATTTTTAATGTTCTTCTTTTTGAGGAAATGGCCAAACGAAATGGGGTGAATAGAGGTATTATCACTGGCACTGGTCTGTTCCCTCTGAATATGTATAATATACGGGGCGGCATCTGATACCTGATACAGGTTTCTACTTACTTGGCTAGGAGAGGAATTTGAATTATTTACATTTATTATTTCTTGTGATACTGGAGCAGTAGGAATTTTGGGAGATTTAAATTTAGTGGGGAGGTTTTCTTCAAAATGACTATTATCGTCAGTACACTGACAATCTTTTTCATTAAAAGCCACTGAGGAGGATTTGTAATGCCTTCTCTTTTTGTTGCAATGCTTACAAATTTTTCGGGATGAGACTCGTTTACTTTTTTTGTTATTAAAGTTGTTATCAGAAGCATCAGTGTCAATTAAAGAGCCCTCTGTTTCCATTTCTTTTTCATTACAATCATATGGAATTGTAACAATATGCGACACCTGGGGGGCTGTCCCCCCAGGGTCTAAAGGGTCATTCATACGTAAGAAATGTTAAAAACTTACCAATACAGCGAATATAACTATACACTACTAATAAATATTAAAATATACACTAAACTAAGGACCTATCTCATCCCAATGACTAATAATAGAAATTAATAAAAATTCTTGCCAAAAAGTACGTCCGCCTAAGTTGAAGGTTTCCCGCGCTTTCCTTTCAGTTTGTTATTTCTTACCGCCAAAGGTTTTTTTTTTAAGTCATAATATTTGTGTGCGAAATCATTTAGCAGACATTCAAACTTATAATTTTAGGCACGGGACAGATTTGAACATGTTGATTTCTGAATATGTTCAGAAATCAACATGTTCAAATCTGTGTTCTGTAAAGATGATTAACATAAAGTCATAACTTTATGTTAATCTATGCAAAACTACAACTACAACTACTACAATGATAGAGTATCCGAAAAATATGTATATGTCGTGGCAATATCGTACATTTGCTCACTTCATGAAATACTCAAGAATTTCATGATGTGGGCAACTTAATTTGACCAGATCATTAAATCGTCTACATTTAACGGTTTTATCATCGACATTTGGCTGGATCGTATAATTAGGGTGTCCATAAAATATCTATTAAAAATCCATAATAATAAGAACATGTTTATTGTCATTTAAGTCCGAATGACAAATAAATTTAATCAATTGTTTTAACAAATTAAAGATTTTCTACTAAATTAAACATCAAACATGTCAAGAACTTACACATTTATATTTAGAAATAAGAAGGTACTTTGGTACATATTACAATAGTAGGCTAAACTGTACTACCAGGGCCCAAACGGTAATACTTCACACTAGTTTAGGTTAGTGTTGTTAGTGATCATAACGCGCGACCCGAGCGAGGTTTTTTTGGAAGCGCCAGAAAAAAACTATTAAAAGAGACCTTTTCTACAAAAGTAATTCAAGTACCACCTCTTGGGCCCTGGAAGTACAGTTTTACAGTATATCTTTGTATGTCATTGATTCTCATCCGCACTTTGTACCTCAACCCCAATTTCCAAAATATCTTATTTTGACAGCCAGTAATAGTCCATGGATTTCTTTTGCATAGTCACCCTACTCTCCTTAATTTGTTTCGTCGAAAACACTTTTGTTATCACTTTCTTCCTCATTTTATAACGAATTAAGCACTTTTTCACTGCGAGAAACAACATTGTCGGCAGCGGCCGCCATATACATATGTAAACAAAGCGCTCGCAGCGACTCTACCGGTTATTAATGTAACTACTTTACAATATGATCACACATTCTTTGCCATTTCATGAAGTAAACGCGCGTTTAGTTGGTCATATCGTGAAACGATTTCTCATCATTGATCTGCCCATACCACATCATGATGTGGCCAATAGATAGTGAAACATTTCATGAAATTCTCGAGCATTTCATGATGTAAGCAAATCTACGTTAAGGCTACGACATATATGGGTCAGGCCGCCATTTTTTTGCTGATATGGCGCAGAAGTATTGTGTTGGTGGCGTAGAAACTTCTACGCGTCGGTGACGTTGAGTAGCGTATAATAGTGACGAATAAATGTTAAGGTTGGCATACACATGCCAAAATATTAATATTAAATTGTGTTGTATAACGTAATTGCACCAATTATGGACACTTTAAGGATGAAAAGGTGGGTTTTTGCAGGATTATTCCTAATATATCAGGATTTTGTTTAAACATCAATGTTGAGCTTAATGTCCGTCTTTTTTCCTTTATGCTTATGCCGAAAAAGTTAGAAATAACCGCATAAAAAATGAGAGATATCATTAAAATATAAACACGGTTTTTTAAGCTAGTAATGGATAAGGAAAATCATTTAATGGACATCCAGTGATGAACATGCACCAAATATGGACATCTAATAATGAACACAATTTAATAATGGACCCCCACTAATGGACCAGCTCGTTGAATTTAGAATAAGTAGTTCCCTATATCTAAGTAAATAAAAACATCAACAATTTTATAATCAACTAGACATTTATTATTATATTTTTATTTTTTAAAGCATTTATTTGCTATATTTTAAATCTAAAGAAAATTTTTACTAAAAAAATTCCACGCGGTCTAGGCAGCAGACGGGACTCGAAACTGCACCCTCCGCTATCCGGGCAGATGCACTGACCATTATGTTACCGTGATCTATGCCTTGCAGCCTAAGAAATACAAGCTGAAATTACACGAATGGGTTTAGTTAGTATACATACATACACTCGAAAAACATTACCCTCCTTTCTTCGGCAGTCAGGTAAAAAGTTGTATAATAAAAATAAAGGTAGGTACCTTTATTTGGTGGCGTAGAGGAGGTGACGAATATCTACGCTACCGTTGGCGTTGAAGTACCAAAATGGTGGCGTATTTCTACTTCTACGCTATGGTCGCGTTGAGAAAACCACTTATATCTCTGTAAATAAAGTATGATTTGAGTTGCATTATAGCTCCAAACATGGCTTTCACTTCTACTAACATGATGCACTATTTGTTTTTCGTGTAACAATCAAACTTACTTTTTTTTGCACAAAAATCTTACCTTGAAAAAATTGTGTACACAAACTACACCAGACGTTCACATGTCAACTGTCAAAAATATAGCCGCTCATCAAGCCGCTGTCCACAGATTACAGAAACTCAGTGTTGCCACTTCCCGATTTGAACTTCACCGATTCCTAAAGTTTAATAGAACATGGAGAATAGGTGGCGTTGACAAAAGTGGCATATAAGTACAGTTTTTGACGAAAACTTATTTGAAATCATTTTCAAGGAAATTCTTAGGATAAACGTTGCTAAATTAAAAGCACGGATAGCTATTAATATAAGTATTCTTATAGTATCAGCCATGTCTCAAAAACTGACATACTTATTACTACTACGATAGTTAAAGTGCACCTCTACCTCGGCGGATAGAAGTTTTTATGTAATTTTACTACCTTTTTTCAGATTTCATTCGAAATATATTTTTTATTTATTGTCTGACCTGAAATAATCATAATGTCCACTTGAGTCACTTTGTTGCTTAATCCAAAGCCGTCATCGAAAATCCGATATCTATAATACTTTTCAAAATACTGACCGCGGAGAAAACAGTTTTCAAAATCAGCAAAAAATGGCGGCCTGACCCATATATAAATAAGTACTAAAGAACTGCACTTAATAGTGTTGTATTATTATTTGTACCTTACAATTTCTTCTGGGAAACAACTGTTTATGATATTAATATATTCTTTAAGTGATGTTCCGGGTACTGTGTCTATTTCCTGAATCCTTTTTAATGCACCTGTCGTTACAAATAATCTTCGAGCTCTTGCATCATTAGGTAAAATCTGTAATAACATTATGACACATGAGTTAAAACTTTATATACTGCAAGAAATATAAAATGCGTTACACAAATGTAATCAAAATGCCAACGAATGTTCTTTACATGATTACGCTGCATAGACTTAGAACTTTTTGTCTTTCCTAAAGGAGAATATTAATCGTGCATTGATTGACAGTAAAAAAAGGCGGGACTGGAAAAAGAGGATATACTGTACTTCCAGGGCTCAAGAGTGAAAAGTTCCCAGTTTTGTTGGTTGCAACTTCGCATTTTTTGTTGAAAAGGTTTCTGTTAACCACATTGGCACGGTAATATTATCTATACAGGATTGTGACTCCGCCCTATCCTTGAAAATAAATGCCTACACCGAACGCTGCGTTGGCACGCGGTAGGGCCGCCAGCCTACAGTATTTTATGTAGTTTTGTTTTTAACGCGAGTGTAGGTAGATTACTCGTTTGTCTCTTTTTTCATCCTAACCACTTATTTATATATTATTCCAGATATTTTGCCCGATGGAAAAACCAAAATACCTAAATATTAGAAACAAATAACGTACTAGTAGATAGGTATATAAAAAATATTCTATAAAGGTAAGACACCTTTCCAATATTTCAGGCAATTTAAAAAATGATATCTCTGGGTGTGTTATTGAAGAGTTCAAGCAACCAAAAACAGCAATTGTGCTGTTGTACGATACTGATCGTCATTTGTTCTTTTCCATACTAAATTATGTAGGTATCTACTTAATTAAATCAAATATTTACAATACAAAACGCATGTTTAAGCACGGCTAACTGCATAAAAAACAATTCAGACCGTTCGGTCGTCGTTGCGGCGCGGCGGCGCATTCGCGACTGGGTGCACGCCGAGAGCACATCGAACTCGAGTGGCGTAGGTATGACTCGCTTTCCGACCGTTTGTATGAAGATAGAATACTGTATGATATTATTACCGTGACATTGGTTTACTGGACTTTAAACCTAAACTTAATTTTGACAACAGTTTATCCTTGTCTTTCTTTAAAACAAATGTTAAGTTTTGTTTTAAGTTTAGAGAATCATGCCACAACCGATACCCGGTCTTTATTAAGACTGTGTGAGAAAAAACATTAATCAGAATCTAGGTAGTTATGAATAATCATGCAGGTCACATACGAACATGCATCCTATATGTAAACGAAAGTATTAAAGTTTCTGAATGTGACATTTGGTTGACAATTTAGGTTATCAACCATTCATATACAAAGCTCAATAAATTATTGACCTAGCCTAAAGAGCTAAAAAGCATTTGCTTACAGAGTGGTAAAAATTTTGGAAGGAATCAAGTAAATCAAAAGGCAAGTTCTATGCGAATATTCGGCCAGATATCCCTCATTCTCCATGGTTTACCAAAATGCGCAATGCCAAAAAAAGTGTTGTTTCCACATTATGCAGACTAAGACTAGGTCACGTATGTATTCCCGTTTTCTTGGCCAAGCTTAGGGTGAAGGACAGTTCCTTGTGCGAGTGTGGTATCGACGAGGGTACCACAGATCATATCTTTTTTAATTGCTCCAAAAATAACCATTCCCTCTATTCATTGCTTCCGTCACGTGTCCATCTTCCTACAGATTTTTCAACTATATTAGCTTTAGTTTATTCAGATTTTGTGAATATTCCGTGTATGTATATTGATTCTAACAATATTAAGTTGTAGATATAGTTTCACTGGTACTCATATCTCAGCTTTATTACTTATGGTTTCAGGCAGCTCAACATATTATATCTTAACCTTTCCTTTCTGTTTTCCCCTATTCTTTTCACATATCCTAGGTCCTTGTACTTGCACAAAGCCCTTCCACAGCACTGCTTATGCAGTTTAAAACAATAAACAAACCCTCACCGAACAAACCTAGACAAGAAATTTTGGACACAAACACCAGATATTACCCAAATCCTGAGGGAGCCACCACTGAAGAAATCTAATCTAATCTAATCTCAATAAATGAAAAAAAATATATCAACCAATTTTAATTATCAATATTTGTTATTGTTTGTTTAAAAATGTTTAATTTTTATTCTAGCATTAGCCGAGTGCTAAAAAAGTGTTCCAAATTTTTTTTTTGCAAACTGTACTTTTCAAGCGACATTTGACAGATGGAGGTAATTGGCTTTCCTATTCTTATTTGAATCGCATTATAATACAAAACTTTGAATATGTATATATGAACATGTATGTATTTGTTTTTACAAGCCCGATCCTCTCCAGATTTCGTAATATAACCATTTCCTTAATTTTTACTTGACATTGGCTGAACGCACAAACTTTGTTTGCTACAAAGAAGAAAAAAGGTTTTTTGGCGGGATTTCATCGAGTGCGGTTGGCGTCTTATTTTAATTATTCTTAAATTCGTTCATAGTGGATATTGTGAAATAAAATTGGTGTGGTTTTGTGTAACAACCGTCTGCGTAACTGAAGAATTAGTGGAATCGTTAAAACATACGCTATTCCGGTCAAGTGGACGTGAGAATTTTATTGTAGTGTTGACTACCTCACAGAAGCTTATCGAAAAACCAACTCCATACATTTCGTGCCAAACACTCCAAGAAACATTAGAATGCGCCACGCCGACATTCTAATGTAAAAAGAAAAAAAAGATTAATTTAATTAAAGACTAGGCTGTATGGCCTTTGTTCTCTTTGCCTTCCCTAAATCGGGAGAACTTCAACAAAAAAAAAGAAGAAAAAAATTGATTGACAGTGACAGACAGGAGTAGGGTTAGAAATCAAACAAAAATAATGAAATTTAACGTAAAGAGAAAACTCGGGATAATTTTGATAATCAACAATTAAGAATGGCAGGAAGAGGTCGAGGTCGTGGTGCTGGTCTATCGCTCACTCATGACCAACTTCAAGCTTTAGGAATCGCTCGTGGTGAAACTGCTCCAGCAGCGCTTGCACCTCCACCTTTATTCCCAAAATTGGAGACGAAACCTCTGCCCTTGGTCAGCGATGCTGCTACAGATTATATGCTGATTGTAAAGGATCAGTTTATTGAGTATTTGCACGATTCACCAGCGTATGTCAAGCCCAAAGTTCTGACCGATGATGTGGAAAGATACTCTGACAAATATAAACTTTTGGCTCTTGATGCGAAACAAGGTAAGGTTTTGAATTATGTTTGGGCTAATATGCCTGCAGAACTCCGACCGCAGGCTGGGCGAATACGAACGACGCGAAAAAGAAAACTTGACGATCCTTATGAGATCGCAAAGAGATTACAAACTCTTGAAAAGAAAGAGTCACAAGAAGAATCCGAAGAAACCTTGCAAAATAATGAGAGTGAAAACGCTAACGCAAAGCCAAAAGGAGAGGTGCATGATGATGAAGATATAGAAGATGAAGAGGAGCAAGATGAAGAGATTGATGATGGGACAGATTATGCTAATAACTTCTTCGACAACGGTGAAGAATATGATGAGGAAGATGACAATTTGGATGATGGGCCTGTTTATTAAACTACTTTTCTAGCATTTTTTGTACAAAATAGATTAAATAAATATATTAAGAATTATATTACACAACAAGTTTAAATTCAGTAGATACCTTAGCATACTGTGCAAGTACATATTTAAGGATGCATGCAGGAGCAGCATGCAGTAATGGTTCTAATGCTGGGCGATGCAGGCAGCACTGTAGGGCCTGCTTCAGGGCACATGATGTCCTGGCCCGCACTTCTCCTGATGATTTTGGGTCCGTATACAACTAGAAAAAAAAACATATTTTATGCATAAACATATAGTAATGCTATTTTTTACATAGATGTTGGGAATCTACCCCATTCAACCACAGCTGAACACAAACAAATAAGGTACTAAAAGAGTGAATTTTTTTCCAGTAAATTTTTTTTAAGATGGATAATTCTATCACCCATATGTAGTTTACCAACTGTTACATAATAGTCAATAGACGGAAATTTCAAAATAATATTGTAAGTTGGCAACTTGTTGGTAATATATCCAGAAAGGAACTTGGATCCAACTTAATCCTAATTGTGGAGTCTATGTTTGAAATGTAGCTAAAGGAGTCATATTATACTCAATGTTTTGCTCTTTCTTTGGTCTGGTAAAGGAATATCTTTGGTCTGGTATAGGTACCTGTCACCTATACCTTCAACTTTCAGACAAACTCCAAAACCTCTGCTTCAAGAAACAATGGTGACGATTCTGGTCTGATTCACTAAACTTAAAAACTAAATTTAACATCAGTATGTCCTTTTCCTTCTGTATAGAGAATATCAAGGATACACTGTTGTCAAATTTAAGTTTAGGTTTAGAGAATCATGCTGGTATCAACATGTTTACTAATTTACAGAAATGTTACAGAGCAAGCCCTTTGTAGCAATCTTGTTATAATGCTTATTTAATTATTTATACTTAAGTAACTTCCATATTGTATGCTGTGTGTTTATTTTTATTATCTAATAATACCTGGTGTCGCTTATTTTTGGTAAAAGCTGTGTACAATAATAATTGTAATTGGGCACAGATATATCATGGTTTAAATATAAGTTCTTGAAATGTGTGTTTGCTATCTCATGACTGTATTTGTACCTTACTTTAAATATAAAATAAAATACGGCGACACAGGATCGCTTGTAGTGTGTAATTTGTATATTTTTTTTATAGATAGTTCCGACAAATGACTCCACCCCACCTCATATTAAGTGACGGTGAAACCAAACGTGAAGATAGCTGGTACAGCAGTTCTACCTGCCTCGCCAGCCATCCTCACCTTATGTTGTTTCTTCAAGCCCCTTTTAAAGGATCCGAGTTTGTAAGAAGGAGGGAACACGTGAGCGGGCAGAGCAATCCATTTACAGATAGTGCGACAAAGAAATGAGTCACCAAATTTCTTAGTACGGGTTAGAACTGTGGCCACATTTAGACGGTGACAACGTAGGCCAGCACGCGTGGTCCTCTGAAAGAAAGGGGAAAGTGGAATAAGAGAGAATAACTTCTCAGAAAACTCGCCATGGTACAGACGAAAGAAAGCGCTTAGTAACGTCAGGTCACGGCGTAATTGAAGAGGCTCGAGGTGTTAAGTCACCTCCTCATTCCCTATGATGCGGTTCGCGCCGCTGTAACCTATGCAAAGCATCGAGCAAGTACTTGGCGGAGCCATCCCAGAGGAGCGAGTAATATTCAACGCAAGACCGCACCTGTCTTATACAACAAAGCACAGTTGCTCGGGCATGAAAAAACGCCGCACCTTGTTTAAGATTCCGAGTTTGCGTGAGGCCGTTTTTACCAAACTTTCAATGTAATTCTTTGGATTTAAGTCATTGCGGATTTGCATACCAAGCATGGTGATACTGCTCTCTAGCTCCAGTGTTGTGCCCTGAAGAGAAGGACATGAAAGGAATGGCGACGCTTTTGCCGTGAAAGCGCAGCCTGGGGTTTCTTAGCATTGAACTCGACCAAGTTCTTGGTACCCCATTCAGAAATGTGGTGTGATTGAATTCAATAACAAGATTCTCCCGTTTCTCCTTGGTTACCGCCTGTCCAGCCACTGCTTGTCCAAGATACCCCGCATGCACTGTACTATCGTCTGCATAGCAATGAATATAGCAAGAGTCATTGATATGCAGCAAAAGGAGAGTTGGGGATAGGACAGAGCCCTGAGGAACGCCGGCATTCACTGACATGAACCGCGAACTACTACCATCCAGTCATAAAATACTTTTACTGTTAGAGGCACTATTCGACACACTGTACATATAGAATTGATAACGAGAAAAGTTCATTTTCTATGAGAACTATTATGGGTACGCCAGGTTGACGCCAGCTAAGAATGTTTAGTTCAATATCTTTGGTCCCTTAAGAGTATTGATTATGAAATTTTGTAAAGCCAGGGCACTATTTGCGAACTATTTTTGTGTGTCAATTTCGTTGCTTAAATATATGCCGTTCTTGGGGACGGCCAAGGGTACGCTAGCTTGAAGTCATGCTAGCGTACACAGTAAAAATGGTCTTTATTTCTTAAATTTAAGAGGCACATTTTTTTTATTTTTACACTAATTTGGCACTATTTACGCAGTATTTAATAGAATAACGAATAACCGTATATTGATCGTGGGTCCGCTACCATCACGGACACAATTTGCCGACCCATAGTGCCAGAAACTGCGTCTGACCACCTATCCATACGGAGAAAAAGTTTAATTAAAAAATCTTTAGGGAAAGAGGAAAAGAAAAGAGAATATCTTTAACTTGGTTATATATGGGTATGGCCGCAAAAAATTGTACAAATAACATTCATGACATCGTAACACACGTTACGTACATGACAGAACGTTACATACATGACCATCATAAAGCTTAGTTCATAATAGAACCTATTGTAGTAGTTCTACTGGTACTAAATAGTTCTAGGCCTGTGGTGGTGATATTATATTTTTTTGATTAACGTTTGGCTTTAGATTTTTTCTTCATATATTATTCTTTGGTTAGCCAATCTTCTTTGTAGTTTTCGTACCAAGAATGTGTTTTCATGAGTTTCAGCACACTTCAGTGATATTATCATTTTTCGCAGTATCTTTTGACTTCATTCTGCGACGATTTTGACTGGCTCGCCACTGTTTTCTTTTCAATCTTTTATTGTCTTCGGTACATTCCGTGGTTTTTTTTCTTTTTTTATATTTTTCTGCATTTTTTGATTTTATTTCTTCGTACTTCGAAGGATTTTGGTTTCGTAACTTTTCACAATATTTTGTTTGCCTTTCGGCATTGGTCAAAGGCATCTGGAATATATATTTTTAACTAATTTTATCCTTATGATTTTATTTATTTTTTAAGCATTTAACTGCTAGATGTTTAAATCTAAAGAAAAGTTTACTAGAAAAAACAACATTGTGGGTTGCCTACAATGCGAAGAGATGGCGCTGCCTTGCAGCTTAAGGCTAGGAAAATTTCGACGCGGCTGATAGGGCCGTGGTAGCATAATGGTCAGTGCATTCGCCCGGATAGCGAAGGATGCGGGTTCGAGTCCCGTCCGCTGCCTGGTCCGCGTGGATTTTTTTCTAGTAAACTTTTCTTTAGATTTAAACATCTAGCAGTTAAATGCTTAAAAAATAAATAAATCATAACTATAATTGCTATTTCTTCTTTCAAATGTTTAATACTTGAAAAAGTATTCATTTGACATTGTGGGTTGCCTACAATGCGAAGAGATGGCGCTGCCTTGCAGCTTAAGGCTAGGAAAATTTTGACGCGGCTAATAGGGCTGTGGTAGCATAATGGTCAGTGCATTCGCCCGGATAGCGAAGGATGCGGGTTCGAGTCCCGTCCGCTGCCTGGTCCGCGTGGATTTTTTTCTAGTAAACTTTTCTTTTAATTTTATCCTACTAATATAATATATGTGAAAGTTTGTATGTTCGTTACTCAATATAGTATACACATATAATGTGTGCCAAATTTCATCAAAATCCATTGAGGCGTTTTTGCGTGATTGAGTAACGAACATATAAACATTCAAAGGATTCTCAAAAAACCAAAGTTAACTCTGACGAAGTCGCGGTAAGGTTATATTTTAAGTAAAATAGTGTAATCTCCGCCTTAGAATCGGTCATGATTGTAACGTTACACATTTCGTTACACATTGTAACATTCATGACACAAAAAAGCGTGCGACATGACCTAAAATTCAAATATCATTTAACTGCAAACAACTATGGATTGTGACGTAGGGTTACCGTTTTCTGTGATAATACATCTTTCTAAACACGTTAACAGTATACCACAACAAGCAGTACTTACCTTGCAATCAAACATACAAAAAACAATATTTATTGGCGACAAATCTGAAGTCAACACAAATTACGATTTTTATTCGGAAAAATATGGCCGATTTTTATTTCTGAATGTTGTATCTTGCTTAATAGTGTTGCAGTTTATGAAAATAGCAAAAATTATCAAATCACATAAAGGAAACTGGTAGAAACAAACGTTACATTCATGACGTTACACACTCATCATAAAGTTGGACACTTTTTTAAAAACGATTAAATATGTAACTGAAACGCTATTTTAATAAGCACGTTTAGAAACACATTGAGAAAGTATCATAAAGCATGAGTACAATTTAATAATTAGAAAAAACTATTTTGACGTGACAACGTCTTAAATTAGGTTGCGGCTGGGAGTCACTTATGAAAAAGTGTAACGCTCGGTAACGTTACGATGAGTTTAAGTTTACATGTACAATGTTTTAGTAAACAAAATATATTTCTATAGTTAAAATTTGTGCAATTCTTATTTTCATTCAATTGTGTTGTTCCTATTGTGCAATTTAATTATATTCATATCAATAAATATTCTACCGAGAAAAAGACGTTGTCACGTAAAATCTTCGCCCGTAAAACCGACTTTACAGGCAACCATTTTTTTTTTCGGAATTATTGGCAATTTTTGATACAAAGGTGGTAGTTGGACAAACAATTTTTGTATGGGAGTGAAAGCACTACCTTTTAAATTATATTTTTTTTACATATATTTTTTAGGGATGGTAGGTTACATTTCGTCAAAATAATCTAAACAGAAGCTCGTCATTCAGAACAATGTTCAACAAATGACATTTATCAAATAACTTCGAAATTATGAGAAAAATAAAATGGGGACAAAACGAAAATGATATTTGTACAATTTTTTGCGACCATACCCATATACCTGCACCTACTTTACAATTGATATGTTTTTTTTTTAAATGATGTCCGGAATATTTCCTCCATTTTTTCTACATATTCTAAGAAATCAATTATTATCAACAAACAAAATACGGGTTTTTAAACTCTGCACAAATCTACCTATTTTATAATTTTTCCAGCTATTAATTCCTGTCAACAATCCGTCTCTTTTCCAAATTACCTAATAACCTGCCAGTATACACCAAAAAGATTCGATCACTACAATACCTACCATTTATTACTCTCGTAAATTATTTCATAATGCTATTTCATCTAATTCAATAATGTATGTAGTTTAGTTATTCAATAATGTATGTAGATAAGTAAGTAGATAGCCTAGTCTAGGAAACTACCTATTATGTAGGTAGTTATGGTTTTAACGCGAGCGTAGGTAGATTACTCGTTTGACTCTTTTTTTCACCCTATCAACTTATTTATATATTATTCCACATATTTTGTCCGACGGAAAAATCGAAATACTTACCTAAATATTAAAAACAAATAACGTACTAGTAGATAGGTATATAAAAAAATATTTTTCATCCCACCACCTCGGAAAGTGTAATTTTGCGCTTCGAAATCTGGCTGGAAAATTCTATTTTATTCGCTTGAGCGGCAAAGTAGATTTGAGTTTAGAACATCACATATAATGAGTACTCAATATAATTGTAAATTCAAAACGTCATTAAACCTATTTAATGTAACCTCTATGGTGCCAAATTTATGATTAGAACTTTTTAAATTGTGAAAAAATTTAAATTTGGAACCTTCTTGGTTTCTTTGTTTTATTTGCGTGCTTCGCGCCATTCTAGTTTTTCACGTTTTATTGCTTAAATATTTTGTCATTATAAATTGTTTTCTTTTTCATTTTGTCATTTCCTCGCTGAGGTGGGATGAAAAGTTACGTATTGCACTCGAGTGGAAAGATTTTTCACCTTGTGCTCGTTTGTTTCCCTCGCTGACGCTCAGGATTCTAATTTAGAATCACTCGCTGCGCTCGTGATTCAACTTTAGAATCCTTCGCTTGCTCGGTCATCCAAATCGAGCACGCGGTTAAAAAGGAACTTTCCACTCTTGTATAATAAATAACTATTATAGTCTTACCTTTTCAATATTTCAGGTAGTAATTTAAAAAATGATTACTCTGGGTGCGTTATTGAAGAGTTCAAACAACCAAAAACTCGTATATTGTTCTTTGCCATATTAAATTATAGGTAGGTAGGTATCTACTTAGTTCAGTCAAATATTTACAATACAAATCGCACGTTTAAGCACGGCTAACTGCATAAAAAATAATTCACACCGTTCGGTCGTCGCTGCGGCGCATTCGCGACTCGCGCCCACCGAGAGTCGCGCGATCTCGAGTGGCGTAGGTATGACTCGCTTTCCAACCGTTTGTATGAAGATAGAATACTGTATAGATAATATTACCGTGCCGGTTACCATCAGGCGGGCCATATGCTTATGTGCCACCCTTTAAACATAAAAACGCGCGTGAATTACACTGCAGTTACTTCTTACCACCCAACCAGACCACTTGCTTGCTTGCTTGCTTGCCACCTCAATTGAAAATAAAACTGCAAGGTATAATATTTTTAAGTGCAATATAATATATACACATAAAGACCTGCAACAATCTAGGCAGAGCATTGGAGACGGCGATGGCAAGACTGTGCTGCGGCGAGTGCTTGGCGATGTGTCCTAGGGTCCACGCCGCGGCACAAATCTCCGCATCCTCTGCATCTAGATTTTGCAAGATCTCCACCAAACTGGGGATAGCCTGCATCATAGTTCATCGCTATTATCAGCCTATTAATGTCCCCAATGCTAGGGCACAGGCCATACCTATGGATATAATAGGGAGATTGGGCCATGCCCCACCACGCGGGGCCAGTGTGGATTGGTGGGTGCCAACGACTGCAGATGCAGCCGGGACCAATGCCTTCCAAAGCACGGAGGGCCTCGGATTTTTTAGTCACTCATCCAATGACCAACCACTGCACAAGTTGCTTAACTTCTACTATCGTAGCCGAACGCGCTAACCACTTGCACCATCGAGTTCCTCGTCATAATATTAGCACAGATTATAAGATTAGTTTTAGAGTCTTCGATATTTCGGCACTGTTACAGGACGTGCCTTGATCACGCCGTTACTCCTCGTCATCAGTCAGACATCGGTGTTACTCAGTGGTCATGGCACTTACGCAAAAAACAATGTGGGTACATGGTAGCAATCCCATTAATGACCACAATACCATAATGTAAGTGACCATGAAAGTTTAAAACAAGACAACATGAGTTACCTTGATAAGCAGAGAATTCTATTATTATTAAAGCAGCATCAACTTAAATCATACTAAAAATAAATTGCCGTTTTCGAATGAATCTTACGGGAAGATTGTCTTTAAAGCGTTAACTTCTAAAGTGCACTTTAAGTCCTAAAACACAACGTGTAATACCTACCTTACGTAGAACAGAAAAAAAACATAGTCAATGCCGTGTGGCGGAACAAGGAAAATAAAATCAAAAACACATTTTAAATAACAAAGAAGTCGTTCTCACTAGTGAAAAAAAAGTAAATTAACATTAGCATAACTGCACCTCTATCGGATTGTTATGAATATGCCACTATTACTGTAAACCTTAGCTTCAACGACAGCCATGGCGAGTTGATCCGACTGCCCGGCGATGAATCCGAGCGCCATGCACGCTGGCACGCGCGTGCCTCCGGTAGTCTCCGACAACAGTTCCACTAGAGGGCCACAACCACCCGTATTCACTACCAGTTGTGCCAGCTATGGAATCAAATTGCTCAAATTAGTTATTTATTCCTTTCATAAGTGAGGTGGGGCATTTCCCGCTCGCTATGGAACGTCCGTCTTAGTACAGACAAACTGTCGAAAAAAAAATCGTTTCAGTGAAAAAAAAACCTAAAGGGTAAGTCTTGTTTTTTCTGTTGCCAAATGACGTCAGCAAGCCACCTTGGCGATGGGCATGTTCAACTCGTAGGCGTTTTTTGAAAAACAAAAAAACCCTCAAAAATTTTTTGAACCGCATTTTTCTTGTTTTGTATGCATTTTAGAAACTTTTTTTTTCGACCATAATTGTAGAGGGCGTGTTGTAATCTCGTACAACAAAAAATGCGCATTGTAGGCGGCGCTAGTCTCAAAAAAAGTGCTTTTTCACTTTTTCACCCTGAAATATCATTTTAATGGAAAACTTTAAATGAAAAAGTTGTTCCGTACATTATTACCAACAACTTTTGTATAAACATTTTTTTTAAATTACTTACAGTTTTCAAGTAACAGTGCAATACAGCGCTACGTATACAACAAAGTGAGTGCCAACACAGTGGGCCAATTCGGCCATCTGCTCTATTCACAAAGTACATTTAGTAAATTATTACAATCATGAAAAAAAATAAAAAATAGTAAAACGTACATCGAAATGTGCACTGCAAATGTGTACTTGAACTGCCCAAAACCGCTTTATTGGATTTTTCATACCTGCGCAATTTATAACTTGAAAACGGTAAGTAATACAAAAAATTGTTTATACAAAAGTTGTTGGTAATTATGTACGGAACAATTTTCCATTTAAAGTTTTCCATTAAAATGATATTTTCAGGGTGAAAAAGTGAAAAAACACTTTTTTTGAGACTTTAGCGCCACCTACAATGCGCATTTTTTGTTGTACGAGATTGCAACAATGACATAAATTGTAGTACTCAACGCCCTCTACAATTATGGTCGAAAAAAAAGTTTCTAAATGCATACAAAACAAGAAAAATGCGTTTCAAAAAATTTTTGAGGGTTTTTTGAGTTTTTCAAAAAACGCCTACGAGTTGAACATGCCCATCGCCAAGGTGGCTTACTGACGTCATTTGGCAACAGAAAAAACAAGACTTACCCTTTAGGTTTTTTTTTCACGACTCAACCTACAGATTGACTGAACTATCTGGGGAAGTAATCTCCACCTTACAGAAGATCACAGTTAAATAATACTACCTTTTGGTGGTGTTGTGTTTCTGTCGGTGAGTAAGGTTCCGGAACACCACGGAGTAGGGGATTGGGTCTGGGTAGGCAACGGCGCTAGTGATATTTTTGATATCGCAAGTGCGTATAGGTGGTGGCAGTTTACCATCAGCCGAGCCATAAAGAAAGACATTGAACCCTTTCGAACATTTATAATATATAGTTACAGTGTTAAATACTCATTAAAAATAATGGCAAGAAATCTTAAAGTACAAATTGAAACCTGTAATTTCAATTGTCGTAAAGTTTCTCTTTTTTCTGGCTAAATCTCATGGAAATACGGCCATTAATTACGATTTAAGACACACACACACAGAACGTCATTTTTGTTAATCCCTGTAAATAACATAGGGCGTAAAACATACTTTAAAAATTTTGTGCTTTACTTTGCTTAAATTTTGAGAGCATACATACATTTTAAAGTAGGTATTGTGTGTTACCTGTTTAAATGTTAATGTACATTCACCACCTTACTAACGTATACTCGAGACGAATAACATTATTTTTTTCCTTAGGTACCAACATCGATTTTGATTTTGTTCTTTATCCTATTAATAAAATCACAACAAATATAATTTGACCTCTGCATATTGCAATTAGTAATAACTCTCAAATTCCGACAAACTTTGAATATCGGAACAGCAGCATCAAAAGTATTGGCTGTTAATTGCAGCGCTGGGTGCGAGCAGGCAGCTCTACTATACTGACCCCCCAAAGGTCCTTCATTGTATAAAAAGTTAAAATGAGCTTTACGCCGGATCTCCTATTCCCCTAACAGTTTTGCCAGCAGCGATTGGATCAAACTTGATTTGATAACATATTTCGTTAGAAAATTGGTGCTTTACGTCTATAATTTTAGAATACTTTATGAATTGCAACTTTTAGACATATAAATAGTATATATTTTTTTTTACTCATCTTATTAATTAAAAATGTCATGAACAATTTTAATAGGCAATGAAATTGCGATTTGTTTTCTTTAAAAAAATACTTGTTAAACATTTTTTTCGTCTGGTAAGCAGAATATGGGTGAGGGACGACCTCTCTTGGGATCTTAGACTTACAGTAATGTTGTAACATTATTTTACTGCAAGCGGTTTAATTCAGACTCTTATGCCAAAAATAAACATTTCTGTTGATCAATTGAATTTCATCAATCGACTAGTTTAGATATTTGAACATAAGAAACCTTATTATTTAGTTAAATATTGACTTCTTCATTGCTTGAGGTAATTACTTTTCTGAAATGCCTTTACCGAGACGGTATCAAGGTCTCTCCATTCCACTCTATCTTCGGCTTGTCTAAGGGCAGTCGATAGACATGTGAACGGGCTCTTCGTCTTTTACCATATAAATTTTCCCATAAAAACCAAATTGCCTAAGATATTGCCGAGCTTTCTTCGGGCGATATGGCCAAAGTAACCTAGTGCTACGATGATGATGTCCATTCTACTATGTTTAAGATATTTTAAACTAAAAAATGCAGCTTTTTTCCTTAGACTATTACTTGTTGTATATCCATTTTAAACCCTTGACAACACACTTTATTTAAAATGACTTGTAGGCTATGCATGCATCACCACCTTACCAACAAATAACGTTAGCTCTTTAAATCAAAATAAAAGATTATATATTTGTTACATATGTTTTTTAAATTGAGTTTTACGCCCAAAATGCATCTGAACATATAATAAAATACGACGTAAAAATCATTTTTTTATGTCACATCCATTTTATAACAAACTAGATTAAAAATTAAATATTTCATCGTCTACATCACAAGATTATATTTTGTCATTTTTATAACTTTAAAAAGTCAAGCGTAATGAATTTAAGCAATTTTAAAAAACTTATTTTGACTCTCCTGTAATTTCGGGATGTGCTTTACGTCAATTGAAATTACAAGCATCGAAATCATCAACATCAACCTATTTTAATGTCCCCACTGATGGGGTCATAGACATAGTATACATCCTATTTCTATGGTTGGGGTGCACATTATCTCTGACAATGAAAATGATACAGTTGGGACCAAAGCCTTAATGTGTAGTGGTTCCGAAACATGGAGCAGCTGGAGGTAAGAAAATTTTGGTCGCCACCGGGGTGGTGCCCTCTTTGAAGTCATCTATACGTATGAACATTGCTCGCGGCTCACATCAACGGAGTGCTTGACGATATCCCTCAGCAGACACGCGGCAGCGCGGCGCACGGGTGCTGCGTCGTGGCCGGCGTGCAGGAGCGCGGGGGGCAGCGCGCCGCCCGCAACCACTGCCTCCGCCAGCTCGCAGCGCGCACCCGCCACCGCGCCCAGCGCACACAGTGTGCTGCGCTGAACCACAACCCAAACCAATCATTAAGTTGTCAGCCGTTGATAGATTTTTTACAACTAGCTTATTGTGACGCTGTGTTCGGCGTACACCACCACCACCACCTTTCTTGCAGCGTACCCAGTATGCCATACAGGGTTGGATTTAAGGCAGGGCAGGCGAGGCTGTGGCCCCCGCAAGAGGGGGGCCACCACAAAAGAACAAAATTTCGACGGGTCACAAATCAAGGGGGGCTAATCTAAAGTGGCCCGGGGTCACAGATTTGAAAATAGGGGCTTGCTCACCTTCCCTGTTGCCACACAAACTGTACTCTGGCTTACCTAATACCGATACATTATTTTGTAATAGTACTCGTATTATGCCCAGCACAGAGAGGATAAAGCAGTGTATTATGTCACGGGCAGCATATTGAATTCTGAGCGAAATAGAGGATTCTGTAGTTAATCCCCGAGGAGCACACTCTATACACACCTACTGGTGTCGATTCTGGCATGATTCTCTAAACAGTGCAGTGCGATGCGCGCTTGGAAACGATCGTGAGCCACTGTGCAGTGAGAATTATTATTCACGTGTCACACGGCAACAGCCGTTGTCCGCCGTTGTAGCTATGAGTACCGAACAACTCATAGTTAACGAGTTGTTGGCGTTTATCCAAAATGCCATCGACACTATGGACGAGGTCAGCATCCTGCAGATCTGCAAATCAAACTTCAAGGAGGATGAGGTATGCAGTGGCAAGGTGTGTTATTCCGGTCTGTCGGGAAGGCCGACAAGATGCCATCAAGACGGAGGGATGGTACTAAGAAGAGTGTGCAGGACATCATCACCCTGCTGAAGGAAACCGATCCGGACGATGTGCCTACATTTGTGGCGAAGGAGCTGCACAAGCTGCCCCCCGTCACTTTCAACCACGTTGACGTCACCAGGCTGCCGAAGGACATCAACTTCCTGAAAGCGAGTCTGGCCGATGTAGTGAGCAAGTTAGAGGACTCTAACAACACCATAGTTAGGTTGCGTGCTCAGTTAGCGTTATTAAGTAGCGCTGCCGGTGCAAGTAGGTCACCCGAGGCCTCTAAGGTGAACACACGTCGCGGGGCGCAAAATGCATCCATCGGCAGTATTGAGTCGGTGCCTGTCAGTGCGTCACCGGCCGCCGTCATCGCGCGCGATGTCCCACTCCCCGCCGCCGCTGCCCACCCCTCTGCCTCGCCGGAGACGTCACGCGCATGCACGTCCACACCGCAACGTGCTTATGCAGTTGCAGCCGCCAGCCGGCATGCTGATGTGTATCCAAAAGAGAAGAATAGCAAACTCTGCGTAAAACGTGCTGCTCCGGCAGTGTCACAAAATCAGATTTGCGATGAAGAGGGCTTCATCAAGGTGGTAAGGAAGAAGAGGAAGCCCGCTTGCCGCAATTTGTGTGGTGTTGCCGCGACCGGACCGAACCACCTGCTGCGTCCTGCAATACCGACGACGCCGCTGAACGTGTCCCGACTGCACTACTCTACGAAGGAAGAGGAGGTCGTAGAGTACCTGCGAGTGAAGACGAAGTTCTCCCTGAGGGTCGCACGGTTGGAGTCCCGTCACAAGGTGAATTTTAATTCATTTGTGGTGAGGGTGCCGACCAAACATCTAGCGACTTTTATGAAAGAAGAACTTTGGCCGAAAGGTGTCGTGTTCCGGCGATTCCGAGGCCGGTTACCTGTTACCGCTATGCGCCACACGTCGCCGTCTTTACGTGTTAATTAGGTGTTTATTAACATAGCTACTAATTCTATTTACTAACAATAATGTTATGATATCTGTATATATGTTAGACTATAAGGTATTTATCTATGGGCCTATGTAGCCTGATCATAAATAAATAAATAAAAAAAAACCTAAATTTGACAACAGTGTATCCTTGTTATTCTGTTTACAAAATAACACTGTTGTCAAATTAAATTAAAAATTTAATAATAATTTGGGATAAAAGTGTATTAGCCTTGGGCAGACTTGAATACTAAGCTTCATTCAGGATTCTTACCATTCCCTTACGAATTAACTACAGCATACTCTATTTCGCTCAGAATTCAATATGCTGCCCGTGGCATAATACACTGCTTCAGGGCCGGATTTCGAGGTCCAGGGGCCTCGGGACAACAGAGGAGCGGAGGCCCCCTCACCGCAAATTATTTTCCAAATAAAGTAAACATTTTTTTTTCAGTCGAGTTTTTCAATAAATAATTTATTGTGAACCAAGTAGATTCCCTTAGTATTGAACAAATACATATAAATATAAACGGAAACAAGAATTATCTGAAATTAAATCTTAGGGTTAACGAACGGAACCGAAAAGATGTTTACTAGTTGGAATTTGAAAGTTTTTTTTTCCGAAGTCTCTATTGTGGGGGCCCCCCGTTTGTGGAGGCCCCGGGGCTTTCACCCCGGTTGCCCTCCCCTAAATCCGGCAGTACACTGCTTTGTCCTTTCTGTAAACAGACCAACAACGACAGACTGATGTTAAATTTAGTTATAAGTTTAGATAATCATAAAAAAGTGGATGATTTTCTAGTATATACTACGTATAGTTACGATAGGTTCTGTTTCTCTTGATAGGTTCTCTTCATTGTCATTATAGCAAGAATGTATAAATTTAAACTAGCCGGAGGTATTACAGTATTCGTGCAATTCTTGCTGTCTGTTATTAAGGTCTGTCGACCTGTAGCACAGATTTCTAAATATTGCTGAATTCGATTTCATTACAAATAGGGAATCATACCTACAACATTGTATCGAAACAATGAGACAAACCTTGGACCACTGTTTTGATGGAAAATAAATATTGATTGATTTGTTTCTCGCTTGAGTCACATCACGTCCATGACAATACAGGTAGGTGAGTAGGTAGCATGTTTATGCTAAAAATGACCACCTTTAAAATGTTTGATAAACAAGAAACTTCAATCTCATAATGCCCTTCGCCGATCGAAATTATGTTGAGGAACCTAATATCCTACCGTACCTTTAGTTTAGGATCTTGATTTTCTAAGCCGCGAACTAAGTGACATATCGCTCCCGCATCCACGACGGCTTCCGGTTTATGTTGTGCGATATCGACCAGTGCACCCGCTGAAATCTGAATTGTATTAATTGTAGCCTTTGATGCCGTTATGTATAACATTACAAATGACTAAAATTTAATTTAAACAAACTTTCAAACTCAACGCCTAAATCAACTTTGTTGTAGGCGTCACCAGACAGAACTAAAATCAGCAACCTCAGAGGATTCAAGGCTATTTAAGAATCGCCCAAGGCAAAAATATTCATTTGGTCCATTTTCTTAACCTTCTACGAAAGACGAATGTTTATTCACATTTTTCTAACTCCATTTTCATAACTGGTCAAATGGGTTCAACTTTATAAATCGAGAAGTAAAACTAAATTATTATTTAACTACAAACATTTAATTTTTATTGTCATTTTCTTAACTAGCTAATAAATACCTTAATATTGTTTTCATTTTCTTAATTGTTTATCCTACCAATTATGAAAAACTGAATAATAATTCTTCTTTCGTAGATGGTTAAGAAAAATAATTAAGAAAATGGATCTGAGGGAAATATTGTGGTAGCATTATTTTGAAGTCATCGATTTTTATAGAACGTATTGTGATTGCAGCAATCATAACATAATAAGGTAGCGAACTAATATTGCCACAAGCATAACCTCTTTTAGTATATATATGTTATAAGTATCTTCTATAAAATATGGCAATTTAAAAGAAATATGAGAAATAATTCGTACCTGCTTCAAGCTCATTTCTGGTTCTTGGAAGGCTAACACTAGCAAAGGTAAGGTCCCCGCATCTACAACCAACCCTGCCAATTGTTCGCTGTGCTTTGCTATGTAACCTAGTGCCCATGCCGCATTCTCTTTTACCTAAAATAATTCCCAAAAAGGAATTAAATTGTTAAATTTATTAATACCTACCTATAAAAGCCAACGATCTCGGATGCCAACTTTTTTACTGACCCAGAAACAAGTTTTAAATTCCCTGACAGTTTATTAGGTATCATACATACAGTTTGCTCTCATTGTTTGCTCATATGCGATTGAATGTCTCATCGGCATTCGTTATATTTAAATGCAAAGAAAACTGGTTTCATACACAGAAAATGGGTGCATTAATAGTCTACCTGTGTATCGAAATCTTCTAGACATGATACTATGTGCTCAAGCGCGCCGTGGCGAACAATGGTAGACGCTAATTCTTCGTTATGCCTGCCAAAAATAGTATAAAAACCATTTGTTTAAATACAATAGGTAAGGTAGGGGTGCCTTATTCTGTTATTAGATATATCAGATTTTATAAATTTTATGTCAACATAAAAATACTATTGTTCATCATACTTACTTGGCAACTGCTCTCATTAGATATAGCGCTGACCGTTTATAATAGATCTGTCAAAAAAATCAGGTAATTGATTTCAAATTGACTATGAACCTGCATTATTTAAAACTTTAAGACATATTTAAGGCAAAATATATAAATATTCCTCAAAAAAAAAGTAAATAAATGATCACCTGAAAAATACAAATGGTAACCTAACCTAATCTATAGGTTACCAATTGAGGATCGATTACCTTTTCTATGGTCATTTAAATATGAGCCTTATTAATTCATACATGTATTGGATAAGTAACCACGTTATCCATTACGTTACTCAATCCCAAATATAACTGCAAATATGGCAGGATCATTCGATGATGAAGATGGATCTTACTCGAAGGACCAAAATAATGTTATAGTCAATAGTATGCGTTGGTAAAAGCAGCCTGCAATAAATAGGAATAGCAATCACTAAGATTATTTATATAAAACTCTTCTCACATTATATTTGTTGAGGTTCTCGAGCGTTGTAGAAACCATGCCGCCGTTGAGCATTTGTCGAGCAACTGCCTCGTCGTGTTCTGCTAATCGAGCGGCTGCTACCACTGCGCATTGTCGCACCGTACTGCATGCATCCGACAACAGAGGCCTTAACAGCTCTGGTATTAAAAGAAGACAGATAAGGTAGAGGAGTTATTAATATGAAAAAGTGCTTTGAAAATATTAAATGCTAATCCATAAAAATATCTCTTTCTCTCTACTAGGACTACTTTAGTCATAGACAAAAAGGCTCAGTTGTAGTTTTCATTGTTTACTGAATACGAATTTCCATAAGACACAAAAACATAAAATATAAGACGTTTGTGGTTACATAAAAAATATAATAATGGTGGCGTCTATAGATTTTTCTGAGACTAGCATAGCAGTAGTGTACCTACTTAGGTACCTCGTAATATCTGTATCCACAGAACACATAAAGAGGTGTGCTGGATCTCTACTCTTTAAAAAAAACTTGTAGGTTTACAATACTATGTATTTAAAATTTTGGCAAAGATAGGCATCCTACTCGTGGGTATGTAGGTATCTGCTGACCTAAAACTCCAGCGCTCTCTAAACATTTCACGTTGGTAGCTCTTGTTGCTAACTCCGCCATTGATTGAACAAATACCAGACGTGCCTTCTGGTACGTTTCAAACACTGCAAAAAAGATTCTATACAAGCCAATTGGGAAAAAAACTATTGCATCTTTTTTAGTAATACATAGTACATTTTTATCTTGGAGGCTACTTAATTGTTTAACATTATCTGCATTATCTTTCCCAAATATGAAACTGAAAGCACCCATTTCAGTTCAAAATTAAGCGAAAGCCTTCAGCCTGGTAAATAGACAGTTTACTTTGCAATCCCCCAAACATTCATTCCTTCCTGAAATCAGCAGGATCTTGTAGACAAGGTGCAGGATGTCTGGATATTGATTTAAAATATTTCTAAGTTTCAGCAGACATCGCATCTCAGAAGCTTGGTAATATGAAAAATCCCCAACAGACGACAATGTTCCTATCTGTGTCCTATTAACGAGAATTATGAATGTATAGATTTTTGATGTTATTAGAATATTGGTACTAAGCCTGTGTATATAAAGTCATTTATGCTTAGTGAAACTCTAATGTAAGCAACTAGGCATGGATATGGCAAAACAGCCAACATTATGGTCCTGTTTTAAGTTCATTTATCTTTTTCATAGAAAGGGGTACAATTAATAAAATAATGTGTCTTCGATGCATAGTTACCTACCAACTTAATTTAAATCATCATCAGTATGTGACTGATAACATGTTTATTACCTTTAATAAAATTACAGAAACAGCAAATGTAATAAAACATCATTAAACAATACCTAATTGAATGTTCCTGGGACTGCTCATAGAATGACTCATTGTTATAAATACCGACGGTAATAATTATCGCAAAGTGCGGTTTAGATTACTTGCTCAGTGGTGCAGTTTTTACAAAATGTAAATATTTATGTTTGTTATTTTTGATTGTGTATCTGAGAGGTCCCGTCTGTCAAGTTGGCCAAACTGGCAAAACGATTGAAATGTCATCTTTAGGACCAAAGAGATTTACTTACATAAAACTTTAGAAAGATACAAGTTTTAGGTCATAGTTACAAGGTACAAGATACAACTCATATTTTTCGAAAATTACCCTTCCTAAACCCAATTTTTGATGCGTACCTGTCAAAGTACCTGATTAGATTTCCACGATCTATCTACCTGCTATTCTGTGTGTATGCCTTGTTGTGTCTTCAGCAATTCCAGCTACGAGGGCGCAATATGAGGTGAAGATCAATAAAATAATGGCATTATTAACACCCAAAGACATTTAATCCAAATTTAAATCGACATTTTCTGATATTATTTAAATATTTTTTAATATATCGCATTCTTTGTTCTTATCCCATGATAAGCAGCTCAAGAGAGAACAAGACTACAAGAGTTCGGTAATTTCCCACGGGTAGTATTTTAGTCAGTAGAAGTCTGATTTAACACTACAACAGAATGTATGATTTTTATCCATTAGGATTATATATCCACTCCATCGACCCCGCACTGAAAGGAAACATAAAATCCCGCCGTCCGAATCGAACCAGCAACCCGCTTCTTATCGCAGGCATGAACCAATAGGGGTGATGACGGGGTACAGTAAACCAAATTCTATTTAGTCCGTCAGTTAGATGATCAAAAAATAATGGACATGTATTTTTTCTTTGGGCAATCAACCAAAAAATGACAAAGTTATAGCGCGTCAAAGTTTGGGAGTCACTCAACTCGTGACGTCACTTGTGAGTGAATTTTCACATAAAAGTGTACTCAAACGTGACGTCATGCGACTTTTCAAATCAATATATCTCTGCAATGTTTATATTACGTGAAAAAAGAAAAATTCGTGTCCTATACTTTTTGATAATCTACCTGATAAACGAAGAAAAAAAAAATAGTCATCATACCTATTATATTTTTCATCTATGACACAGGTGTTCTATACTATGGTTATAAATAACTTCCTACAATCATAATTGTATAATGTAAGCAATTTGATGAGTATATAATATTTAAAAGTGTGTTGTATTTAAAAGACATGAAAAATAATAACGCCGCTCCCCTCTCTAGTGGTAATACACACGGAGGCAAAAAAATCGCACCTCCGCGAAAATGACTTTCAAGCGTTATTAACCCTTAACACGTGCATGTACCCCCACCAATATTGGAGTCATTTGAAAGCCCATTAAATAAATGAATTAACAACGAAAACTTAGAAAAATAAACACAGAAATAAGCAAAACTACAAAAACAATAGATGCTTTGGAACACTCTCTAAAACTAAAATGGAAATGGGTGGGTCACATTGCCCGAATGGATAAGTAAAAATGGACACAGAGAGTAACTACTTGGCAAGGACCGACAAACAAAAGGCATAGAGGTAGATCGAGAGAAAAATGAGTAAATGAAATAATAAGAAAAGCTGGTGAAAATTGGACCACATAAGCAAAGGACAGACAAACGTGGAGCAAAACGGAGGAGGCCTTTACTCGTTGAGTGGTCCATTATGACAATAAATTATTAACTAGGTACTTTGTATACATAGATTATTTAAAATTTGAATTTTATTATTTTTTTGACAATTTGTATGAAATCAAATTACATCCGCTTACCCACCTTTTCCCACGATTTTGTGTTGTAATATGAGGGTAGACAAGCAGTATCTGTCAGCTGTCTGTTACAACTGCGACGCCATCGCCATAGCGATCGGTCGACTTCGAAAAAGGTCAGATCCAAATTACCTAGTTTCGCGCGTCGGTTGTTCAACTAGCACAAAGGAAAATCAGCAAATCACCAGATTACGTAGAGGACAGTGAGGACTAACTCAAGAGCACATTCCCACAACATCCGGGAAACTTACGAAAATACAGACAGACCGGCGCTGCTCTAAAGGCTATCGAAGGCAACAAAATCGTAAGTCCAAATTCCTTTCAGCCCCGCACAGGCTATATTATTATTAACGCTTGCGCTCACACTACTTTAATTGTGCGCGACTACTTTCAAGAGGTTGGGATCTCTGTCATGCAGTTGCCAGCGAGGATTCCAGACCTGAACCCGGTTGAACACCTCTGGGACCATTTGCAACGCAAGGTTCGGTCTCGTGATCCCGCTTCCACGACTCTCCAGGAGTTCGAAGAGGCCGTTATTGAGGAATGGGTCAGTATCCCTCAAAAAGAGCTCCTAAAATTGGTAAGATCCATGAGAGAGCATATGGGAGCCGTCATCCGGGCAAGGGAGTTAACACTAGGTTTTAGGTTAGTTTTAAGAACTTTTTTGAATTTTTTGTGTAATTCTGTTTTTAATTAAGGATTTTTGTTGTTTTTCCACTGTTCCAATAAAAAAAAAATTTGTTTTTTTAAGTTTATTTAATGGGCTTTTACATGACACCAATGTTGGTGGGGGTAAATGCGTGTGTTAAGGCTTATAATAACGCTTGAAAGTCATTTTCGCGGAGGTGCGATTTAACTAATTAAACGTTGCAGTACGCAACTTTTGCGTGATCTAAATTATAATGTAACGTGAGGCTCTACTCAGTGATTTTATTAAATGATCGCGTTTCGGGCCTGCGCGTGCGCTGCGCGCCAAGAGCAAGCACCCGTGAAGGCCATGTGATCGCTTGCGTCACGTGCGGCTCACATAGCCATAACATAGCTATAACATAGCTCACCCGGTGCCGGTGCATACGCACACAGGCTTACCATTGTGAACCGACCACGTATGCTATGCGAGCCTCACGCGACTCGGGTTCACTCACACTCAGTGGCGGCACAACCTGTCGCGTAGCTCCCGTCTGTGATCAATCCAGCGCCACTGAATCATACGTCTACCAGTTAAAATGTACCGGTGATTTGTCGGTAACAATTGTCTTGTGAACTGATAACATCTGTGCGAGAATAACAATATGCCGTATATAATGGTGATGGGGAGCCTGAGCGCAGCGCATCTTTCCAAGGACGAAGGTGCCACCGTGTATGGACTCAAAAGCGAGGAACGTGCTTCTTTAGTGAGGGTAAATAAAAATAAATAATTAACCTTCATTACCCTCAGACACATACCAACTGTTCTAACAAATATAACAATGAAACTCATGTCTAGCCAAAGCTATAATGAAATACTGTAGTCGATTTTTAAAAATATTATAATTTATCAAAAGGCATTCATATTTTAATACTGAACTGATTACCCACCATGAATGATTTACTGGTATGATGTGGATTTAAGTAGGAATTGAGTTTATTCTAAAGAAAACATTAAGTAATAGTTGTTTTTTATAAAAATCAACCAATAATAAGGTGGCTGCTCTTTAAGTTCCCTTTTTAGAATTTTTATAATAGTAGAAGATCCGAACCTACATCGACCTTCACCGAGCTGATAATAGAAAGAAACAAATTTCATCATGACTTTAGTAGGTACCTATATTACAAAAGATATTAAAAATGGGTTGCCTAAAAAATCCTGGACAGACTATTTTTAATTATTAAAAAAAATGTCTAAAAATATATGTTGCTACATCAAGTATAAAACGTATAGAAAGTGCAGCCGTTGGGTAACGTAACTGGCGCCGACATGCCTGTTTAGACCTGGCAACCCAGTAGTTCACCCAGGTAAATAATAAAAAACAACCCAAGGGCTGCACATTTTATACGTTTTATACTATTTTTAGGACAACTTCTTTTTATTATCTTGATGTTGCAACATTAAATTAAAAATAGTCTGTCCAGGATTTTTTGAGGTAACCCATTTTTAATATATTTTCTAATATATGTACTAAATTCATGATAAAGTATGTTTCATTCTATTATCAGCTCGGTGAAGGTCGATGTAGGTTCGGATCTTAGACAATAGGACCAAAGAAATGCTTTTATTTTACCCGATTTATACAAATTCCTAGCCCTTAAACTGCCCATTATTTCGGTCTATTCACCCCCTGATATAAAAGTTTATACCCCCTTATATGGAACCATCCCATAACCAGCCATTGCGAAAGTTGCTTAACTTATATTACATCAATTGAACGCGCTCCACTACGCTATTGATCTCCTCTTCACCAAACATTCGGACCGACCTATTCAACCGACCGCACTTACCACTACCATTGGGCTAAAGCCTACCACACACCAAATATCAACATTCTGACATGACGACCTCCGTGACCGAGTGGTTTACACGCCGGGTTTCATGGTGTCGCCGACTCTAGAGGTCGTGGGTTCGAATCCCGGTGGGGGCAGATGTTTGTGTGATGAAAACTAGCATTTCTCCTCCAGTCATGGACGTATAATATGTATTTCTCTATAAATATACTTATATAATTATGAACAATATATGTATTCTATCCATTACCCTAGTATCCCATAACACAAGCCTTACAGTGCTTACTTTGGGGCTAGGCTAATTGGTGTGAGTATTGGAAATATTAATTTATTTATTATTCTATTTTAAATTTCAGGAATTAAACTCCGCGTTTGGTATGGCGGTAGCGACGTCTTCGGACAACGAGAGAACAGTGCGCGTGACTCAAAAAGGATTGACCCTGATGGTGGTAAACCGACTGCATGGTCTGCTCGGGTACGACGTGGTCTCGCACGCTATGGCGATGACCAACGCAAACCGCGAGCTCGTCTCCTTCACCTTATACAAGAAGAGCAGCCCTCATACCCACGCTCACAGCCACGGGCATCCGCACAGTCAGTCGCACACTAGCTCCCACAAGACCCATTCACACGGAGGCGTTGTTACACTTTGACCGAATGCCGTACATAAAAAGTAAATGCTAGCCATGGAGCATTATTTACGCCTCTTGTAACCACATTATGGATTGTGCATAACTTCTCTCTGTTGAAAGTAAAACTGGGGAGGTAAGTGTGAGAGAGACGTGGCGATCGTGCGGCCAATAGATCGCATAGATATTGACCGCACTATTGCTTCCTATCTTTCTAGTTGTTAATTTCATGTCGCTCAGTCCATTCTAAAGTTTTATCGGATATTTAATCAGGTTTTAACGGTTGTTGGGACTTGTTTGATATACTATGTCATGTTGTCGATGCATTGCTAGACAAGGATATGCATACCGCACAGCTGGTAACAAGAGTCCTAACGCGGCCATGGTGTTTGCTTTTGATAATAATCAGCTCCATGTTATATTACATCTTCATCTACATTTTCATACCGTAGTATGAAAATTTAAACTCTGGTCACGGTGTTGCCTCACAGAGTTACAGCATTATTTACAAGCAAAATTAGCTGCTAGATTTCGAAAGCAAGAAAAAATAAAATTGTACAACCAACAACTTATCAAGTTACTGTAAAATGACATTTTTTATAATTAATTCATATAAAACAAGATAAACCTTAAAGTCAGTGGGAGGAATTCGACAGTTTTCGATAACTTGATCTGTGGCTGTACCTTTCCAGTGTCTGTATATCAGTTATCTACTTAAAGCCATTCCATTAAAACTTGTTTTATTTTCAGAACTTATGAAATTACAATATTTTTTATATTATGATGATTGATGCCCTATACATAGAATAAGATTTTCGATTAAATTAATAATAAAAAAAACACTTGTTTTCTTTTTAACTAATTATATTATTAGATTACAAATAAATTATCAAAGAAACAATTATAAAAAGCTATTCAGTCTTAACAATAGATAACATTCGGTATAGTTATGTCGTAGTCTGGATTATAATATTAAATTATGTAAATGATGTTATTTATAGTACTTATATTATTTTGTTCGCATCAAATTGTATTTAAGTTTTAAATAAAAACTTTAGACTTTATCAGTTCCAAACGTTATGTTTTCATAACAGTTATAGTTAACAGTATGGAAAAGTAAAAAAGAATCTGTCTGCAAGACTAGAATTATAATATATAAATACGATATAACGTTATTGCACTATTTTTTTCATTGTTACAATTCAAGAGTCAACTATGTTTTTCCCTGGTGATCTTCTGTCTCTCTTCCGCCAACTTTTTCAGAGCTGCCGCATATTGGCGTTGGATTTCGAGTAGATGTGAGTATTCATTGTGAAGTGCTGTCTTGCGCCCTTTTTCTGCCCTATACTTTTCTTCCACTTTTTTGACGGTCTGATTCACCCAATCAACTATAGACTCAAATTGTGTCATGAACTCCTCCCTTGCCCTAGCGGAAGACATGGCTCTGCAAGAAATAATTTAAATAAATTCTACAACATCACATAGGACAATATAGTCACACATCAAAAAATAATCCAAATTTTCTCGTTTATTCCCAGTCGTCTCTACGCGGATTGGAATCGGAGGCAAATGGGAATAAAAAAACTGAATTTTCATTCCCAGTCGACAACGCGCGTTCCACCACCGGAGGCAAATGGGAATAAAGACATTGCCCCCAATGCAGTTGTTTTATTCCCGTTTGCAATACCCGTCGGGACGACTGAGAATATACGAATCTTCTTAATAGATCGTGAGCCTTATATCAAGCTATATAAAGCTCAAAATTAGTTACGAGAAATTTGTCAGTTTTGGGTATCTTGACTATACAGACGTATACTTATTCCTGTTATGGAAGTAGGTAAATACGTCCTTTGCCAAAGCACTTGTATTATCGAATTAAGAAACAAAGAAGTTACTGTTTAATTAATAACTGTTAGCCCAAATACGAGTGCCAATGGAATTCGACTGAGTGTAAATAAACGGAGTCGAGTAAGCCCGTATTCGGGTAGTTTTCGTTTTTTTTTACCCGACTACGTCTTCCAGCCCAGTATTTCAGTGTAAATATTGCTTCGGGTGCCCGAATTCCAGTAATGTCTTTTGTGCACGTGCCGTGCCGAATACGGGCTAACGACGAAGTGTAATTGATCCTTAATAGTATGTACCTTTTTGCAAAGAAAACAAAAACTTACCATTTCTATTTCGTAGCATAATTTGTGCAAATTACTTGGGATTTTATTTGAAAAATAGTAATCTCAAGCTATTAATATTTTTAAAGTAAATTAAATATGCATTAATAGAACTTACTCATCATAATTATCTAGGATAGAATTCAGCAAACTCAACTCCTTAGAGGTATATAATTTCACTTCATAAAGTGTATTATAAAATATGTAATACTGTTTAGTTTCTCTGTGCTTCGACGCAACTGAAACAATATCAATAAATTATAAAATTATTTAATTGTAACTCGACACAACCTAAGTCTCATCTGTAAAACTATTCGAGTGATATAAACACGGATTATAAAAACAATTAACATGCAATTGTTAAAAACCACTGGCGGTCTAAAACAAAACGACATTCTCTAAAGTTAAATTAAAGAGAAAGCGAAGGGTGCTGGTTCGAGTCCCGTCTGCTGCCTGGTCCGCGTGGTTTTTTTTTGTCTAGTAAAATTTTCTTTACATTAATACTAAATTTAACATCAGCCTCTCCTTTTCATTCTTTGTAGAGAATGACAAGAATTCCCTATTATCAAATTTAATTATATGAAAAAAAAATAAGGTTTAGAGAATTCTGCTAGAATTAACATCATTGGTAAAACATCTAAAAGATTTTTTCCATGTAAGCGCCGATACACACTGGAATGATGGCAGCAGCCGGCAACAAAGCAGGGTGAGCACTATCAGGTTAAACGCGTGACATAAATTCTAGTGCGAATATTTCCTATAGACACACATACACCATAGATATATGAGGAGCAGCAAACAAAACGTTAAAATTACATAAAATTAATTTTTACAGGAGCTGTATAAAACTGAATGACATGCCTCCAATAAGCTTTTGGCATGATTTTTAATTTATAAATTTAGGTAGTAATTTTAACACTGTTTTAGGGGGTTTTGATTGAAAATTATTTGAAATTCAAATTCACGGGCCCAAAACCTCCAGACTGTAAAAAAAAGTAGTTTGATCAGACATGTAATTAAATTGTATTGTTCGCCAGCTCCTCATATATTCTCTTATAGTCAACAACACCACCTTAGAGGGGGATTTGGCTTTGAATTTACAATACAAAAGAAACAAACTCTTTATTGTACACCACAAAAAAACATTATGGGCGGCCTTATTGCTTATAGCGATCTCTTCCAGGCAACCCTTGGATGAAGAGGATTAGAAGGAAGAAAGGGGGAGATGGCGGCGTAATTCGCTTGCAAAATATATAATATATTAGTATATACTTACATACACATATAAGATATATATACCTATATATACATACAATAAGTATAAATACAAATACATACATTGATCTAGTTCAGTTAGGAGGCAGTTGTAAGCACATCAGATATTTAAAAGAAAATTACTACAATGTCAGATAATGGGAATTCAGACGATTTTTAATTGTATAAATAGTTTCCGCACTTCTATCGAAACCGGAAGAGAATTCCATAGATGTACAGCTTGCACTGCAATCGAACGGTGGAAGAAAGTTGTGCCGTGTACGGGAGTCATAAGAGCAAGATTTTCTAATGACCTTAAAGATAATGTGTTGGAATTATGCAGGAAATTAAAACTTTCCTTAACATAGCCCGGGGACTTGGGATTGAACAATATGTTGTAAAGAAGCGAAAGGGTATGAGTATTCCGGAAAATGCGAATAGGTAGCCACTTGAGCTGTGAACGAAATTGAGAAACATGATCATATTTGCGCAAGCCAAACATGAAGCGGATACAAAAATTTTGAAGCCGCTCAAGTTTATTAAGGTCCTTCGTGAGATCTAGTATTTAAATTTTTACGTAATACAAATACGATTTACAAATTAATTGCATTTGGATTGGTCTGTTTTTTATTTGTACAGCTCTGCTGGACTGGACAATGGTTTCAAATTCAATAAAAACATTTTGTATTTATTTTGAAGCCATGGAAATGGATAATGTGCAAAAATGCATTCCATAAATTTTAATTAAATAAAAACCTTTAATCTCTAAGCTCTATGTTCAAAGCAAAATACATATATAATCAATTAATAACATAACCAAAACAAAAGTGCATGTGCTATGAATTGAAAAAAATACCTTGGTTATAGAGCTCCATAAATCTCTTCTCATATTGTAGAAGTTCCGCAGTTCCGGGTACTTCATCTATAGCCATAGTATACTTCAATACCTCACGGTTCGACCTGGCCAATTCTAATCTAAGGTTTGTGATGAAAGACTTTAACTTCTCCTCCCGCTGATAGAATTCCTTCAGTTCTTCAGGACTCAAAGGTTGATCTACAACTTCTCTGTTTGGATCCTTTGCAGCACTGAAAGTTTTTATCCATACTAATATTATAAATGCAAAAGTGTGTCTGTCCGTTACCTATTGACGCTTAAACTGCTGAACCGATTTAAATGGAATATGGTATAGAGAGATGAGTTTCGAGTCCCAGGAAAGTATGTCCTTTCCTGGGACATATAGTGGGATAGTTCTTATCTTAGAAATCGGACGGAGTAGCGTGCGCCTTGTAGTATCCTAATAATTTGTATCCTTAGATTAAAACAAAAAGGGAAGATACGGCACTCGCGGCTCAAAAGTGAACTGCTTAAATTGTGGTGCATGACCATATTTCCTTTAGTCACAATTAGACAGCCAACCACGATGCATGTGCACTCAATATAACAATATTGCGTATATTTTGTATTATAAAGATAAAACAATGCCATTAATCTTTAATAAAAAATACAAATATGTAGGTAGTTGAAGATCATACAACAAAGGCCACAACAACACTTTTCATTCATAAAACTACAAAATAAACTTTTTTCTCAAAAATCACGATTTGCCATGAATGTTAGTTACTGATTCGCCATTTGTTATCAAGAAAAGGACAACAATACAGCTCAGTCGTCTGTAGAGAGAGAAAAGAAAACACAGTCGGCTGCAAAGCAACGCCGCCGCGCCAATTCGCTTGCGCAGCATTGAAGCATGCAGTTCTATCTCGCTCCCTCGACTTAATGTTGATTTTCAAAAGTGTGTGTGTGTGAGACTTGCATAAGTAAGTACTCAACTTACAGGAGCATATTATTATTGATGCTAGTATGACCATACCGTATCTTCCCTTTTTGTTTTAATCTAAGTTTTGTGTAATTGTCTTTTGCAAATCATAATAGTTTGTAAATTTTTAATAGATGATTGACCTCTGTGAAGTTAGCCCCCCACTTTTTGAATTTTATTATTATCTAGGTTGTTCTATGTTTGTTCTACATTGTTCCAAAGTATTATTTGAAAAAACTAAAATTTGAAGCTGCCAGAGAAGAAAAACCGTTTTTCTATGGTAGCCCCCCATGTTTGGAAATTCAATATTTTTTTAGTTGTTCCAAGTTGTTCTAGTTGTTCCGAACATTGTTCCAAAGTATTATTTGAAAATATTCAAATTTGAAGCTGCCAGACAAAAAAAACGTTTTTATGGTAGCCCCCAATGTTTGGAAATTCAATACTTTTTTAGTTGTTCTAGTTGTTCCTAACATTGTTCCAAAGTATTATTTGAAAAAACTCAAATTTGAAGCTGTCAGGCAAAAAAAACCGTTTTTGAGATAGCCCCCCATGTTTGGAAATTCGTTATTTTTAAAGTTGTTCCAAGTTGTTCTAGTTGTTCCTAACATTGTTCCAAAGTATTATTTGAAAAAACTCAAATTTGAAGCTGTCAGACAAAAAAAACCGTTTTTCAAATAGCCCGCCAAGTCAAATCGTACTAGAGACAATAAATAAATCAACAATAATTTTAAACAATGACGATTGTATCAGTACAACCGTGGGCTATATCGTTCCAATTTCATTTAATCATTTTGAATAAAATTAATAGTTATAAGACAAGAAAACATTACACTATAGGGTAAACTCCCTAATTGTTGGCACTTTAAGAGTAGGTTCCATGTCAGTCAGACATTAAATTACCATAAAATCACATCTAAATGAGTTAGTACACAACACATGTAACAGTATCAAGGAAATATAGTTCAATCTTTGTTTTCATAATAGTACAGTCAATGAAGGCAAAAATCAGCTATAACCTCCGATTTCGATGAACCTCCATCGATTTTCATGAAAAATGGTGATGAGGTGGGGGATACCATATGAAACAAATGTAACATAGTGCCAACTTGCGCTTTTTCCCTAGTGGTAGATACCACCCCTTCTCGGGGGTAAAAATTATTTTAAAAAAAATATTTCAAAAATAACTCCAGGAATCGATAGAAAGACAAACTCTAAGCAAAAGTTGTTATATTAAGTTTTCGAAATAAATCAATACTTTCCGAGTTAATAATGATCAAAGATTGTGATTTTGCGTCAAAAAATTCATGTTTTAAGCGGTTTTTCATAAATATTTCAAAAGCTATGAGTTTAAAGAAAAATATATTATTACTAGACGCAACGAATATTCGGTTACTATTCGGTATTCGGCCTATTCGGCTGCTTTTATTATATTCGGCCGAATACCGAATACCTACATATTATTCGGCCGAATACCGAATACTTAAATAATATATTTTGTCATAGATAAATAATTGGTAAAATGAAAATGAATATCGATTGATTACGTAGGTATATATTCATATTTTCATTTCTGTTATATATAATCATTAAAGTAGCCATTGGTACATAATCATCTTCTGAATTGGAAAAATGGAGGATTCTATGTATTTGAATTATTGTGGTAATCAAAATTTAAAAGGGTAAGGTTCTCATTTCTTTTATAATCATTTTTTAAGTAGTCATTGGTACATAAAACAGGAACATATTTTAATCATTTTCTGTATTAAACAAGTTAAGAATTTTTCTATGCATTTGAATTATTTTCATAATAAAAATTTAGAAGCGGAAGGTTATGGTGCAGAAAGACTAAATTTTCTGCATTATTAGGAAGTAGTAGAAATTCTTTTTTTCTCGTACACCATCCCAGCTTCAGAGTAAAGGCGCTCTGAATAAACACTACTTCCTGGCGCCGACAAATATTTTGCTGCAATCTTAATCAAACACGGAAATTCAATTTTCCTTGCTGCCACCATGTATATGGATTGTCATGACGTGATATATTACTAATATTTAAGAAAAGATCCATTTCTGTTGAAACTGCGTTTGACTGAATTGCACTGCAAACAAAGGGGCGCGAAACAATCACGTTTGTACAAGTTTTTATCGCTAAAATCCAGCCGAATACTTTTGCCTAATATTCAGCTATTCGGTCAGGGGCCTCGCCGAATATTCGGTATACTGCCGAATATACTATTCGTTGCAAGTCTAATTATTACCAAAATTGAAGCTAATAAAAAAAACAAACACCTTCTTTGAAAAACCTTCTTATATGAATTCAAAGTGAGCTATAGGTAATTGTATGTATATATTTTTTCGACGAGTACTTAAATCTAAGTTTCCAACACTAAATAACGGGAAACCTATGCATTTTGATGAATGGTTGGAATTATTTTTCGTTTTTCCTGAAAAAAATAAGTGTTATCTTATTTTTATCATAACTTTTTCAATTTTGAAGCTATTAACTTTTTACAGTGCTCATTATAAAGGTATTTCTAAGGAATTTAAAAAGTGCTCCGGAAGTGTATGTCATAAATTCATCGGTTTCCCGTTATTTAAGTTTGAATACTTAGATTAAGTACTTGCCGAAAAAAATATATGTACATACAATTACCTATAGCTCACTTTGAATTGAAATTAGAAGGTTTTTCAAAGTAGGCGTTTGTTTGTTTTTATATTAGCTTCAATTTTGGTACTAATGTCTTTTTTGTAAAGCTCATAGTTTTTGAGTTATTTATGAAAAACCGCTTAAACATGTATTTTTATCACGCAAAATCACAATATTTAATCTTTAATAACTCAGAAAGTATTGATTTATTCCGAAAACTTAATATAACAAATTTTACTTAGAATTTGTCTTTCTATCGATTCCTGGAGTTATTTTTATTAAAATAATTTTCACCCCCGAGAAGGGGTGGTATCTACCCTCAGGGCAAAAGCGCAAGTTGGCACTATGTCACTTTTGTTTCTTATGGTATCCCCCACCTACTTACCAATTTTCATGAAAATCGATGGCGGTTCAACGAAATCGGAGGTTGCAGCTGATTTTTGCCTTCATTGACTATACCATTATGAAAACAAAGATTAAACTACTTTCTTTGATACTGTTACATGTGTAACATGTGTTGTGTACTAACTCATTTAGATGTGATTTTATGGTAATTTAATGTCTGACATGCTACCTACTCTTAAAGTGCCAACAATTAGGGAGTTTACCCTATATTCTAATGTTTTCTTTTCTATTAATTTAATTCAAAATGATTCAATGAAATTGGAACGATATAGCCCACGGTTGTACTGTTGTTGTACAATCGTCATTGTTTAAATTGATTTTTGATATATTTATTGTCTCTGGTAGGTACGATTGATTTTATTTTATAAATAAAAGTTTTTATTTGTCTTACAGCTTCAAATTTTATTTTTTTCAAATAATACTTTGGAACAATGTTAGGAACAACTAGAACAACTTGGAACAACTTTAAAAATAACGAATTTCCAAACATGGGGGGCTATCTCAAAAACGTTTTTTTTTTGCCTGACAGCTTCAAATTTGAGTTTTTTCAAATAATACTTTGGAACAATGTTAGGAACAACTAGAACAACTTGGAACAACTTTAAAAATAACGAATTTCCAAACATGGGGGGCTATCTCAAAAACGGTTTTTTTTGCCTGACAGCTTCAAATTTGAGTTTTTTCAAATAATACTTTGGAACAATGTTAGGAACAACTAGAACAACTTGGAACAACTTTAAAAATAACGAATTTCCAAACATGGGGGGCTATCTCAAAAACGTTTTTTTTTGTCTGGCAGCTTCAAATTTGAATATTTTCAAATAATACTTTGGAACAATGTTAGGAACAACTAGAACAACTTGGAACAACTAAAAAAATATTGAATTTCCAAACATGGGGGGCTACCATAAAAACGTTTTTTTTGTCTGGCAGCTTCAAATTTGAATATTTTCAAATAATACTTTGGAACAATGTTCGGAACAACTAGAACAACTTGGAACAACTAAAATAATATTGAATTTCCAAACATGGGGGGCTACCATAGAAAAACGGTTTTTCTTGTCTGGCAGCTTCAAATTTTAGTTTTTTCAAATAATACTTTGGAACAATGTTAGGAACAACTAGAACAACTTGGAACAACTAAAAAAGTATTGAATTTCAAAACATGGGGGGCTACCATAAAAACGTTTTTTTTGTCTGGCAGCTTCAAATTTGAATATTTTCAAATAATACTTTGGAACAATGTTCGGAACAACTAGAACAACTTGGAACAACTAAAAAAATATTGAATTTCCAAACATGGGGGGCTACTATAAAAACGTTTTTTTTGTCTGGCAGCTTCAAATTTGAATATTTTCATATAATACTTTGGAACAATGTTAGGAACAACTAGAACAACTTGGAACAACTAAAAAAATATTGAATTTCCAAACATGGGGGGCTACCATAAAAACGTTTTTTTTTGTCTGGCAGCTTCAAATTTGAATATTTTCAAATAATACTTTGGAACAATGTTCGGAACAACTAGAACAACTTGGAACAACTAAAATAATATTGAATTTCCAAACATGGGGGGCTACCATAGAAAAACGGTTTTTCTTGTCTGGCAGCTTCAAATTTTAGTTTTTTCAAATAATACTTTGGAACAATGTAGAACAAACATAGAACAACCCAGAACAACCTAGATAATAATAAAATTCAAAAAGTGGGGGGCTAACTTCACAGAGGTAGATGATTGTTCATACCATTTTTTATGAATATGTGATAATTTATCTGAGAAATTAATTCTCTCCAAAAATAAGGAAAACATTTTTGAGTAAATCAGAAGTGATATTTCCATTGCTACTTTGTGGAAATTGATTTTCACCTTCAGTGAAACTTTGGTAGTGACTTACGTTACTTCTTCTTCCAGCCTTATGTGTTCTTTTTCTCTATGTTGTATTACTTGTAGAAGTTCATACCTCTCTCGTGCCAATTCTTTTAAAGATTTGTAGAATTCTTTTACATTTTTATCACTATAAGAAATATAATTATGAGTAAAATTGATAAGTATTTCATTTAAGATCTAAAAAGAAATGATGAATTTTGAATATTTATAACGTACCTATGATCATCTGAGGCCATTAACTTACAGGTGATTCTTTTCAATTTATCCACCAAATTGCTATATTCATTTCTGGCAGTTTCCATTCTTGTCTCATGATTTTGCTTAAATATCTCTATTTCATTTTCCATTGTATCAATAACTTTTGTGAGTCTATCAACATCTTCGGCATATTTAAGTTTTTCACTCATTTCAAGTTCTTTGGATACTTCCCCTGTTAATTCAGATTGAAGTACAGCATAATGTATTTTTGTCTCAGCTGTATCCTGATTAATATCTGCATCCTTTTCAAATTTGTCTGTCTGTAATATTATCAACAATTTATAAGGAATTTGTTGGAAAAAAAAAAAATTGAAAAGAAATAATTTGTTATAATAAATTACACTAATATAGATGTGATTTCAGCCGTATGACGCCCACTGCTGAGCATAGGCCTCCCCCAAGGATCTCCACACCGATCGGTCTTGCACACAGAATATAGAAAGTGGTAAGTAGGGCCTTGTGGGTTGTGTGTGATTATGTGTGTGTGATAATGTTTGCTATAGTTGTGTATCTCATAACTTGACCAAAACTTTGTTGTTACTCTCAGGTGTGAGGGCTGATTGGTTCACTTGTTTGTTGTCTCATCGTTTGATTTGCTATGAGGTGGAAGTGTAGTGGGGCCGAGAAGGCGACATATCGGTTCCCGTACAAACTGTCTATGATAACCCTTCTAAGTTCTTTCTGTATTCTTGCGCCACTCGCATCCATCGGCTTCCCGCAACATTCACAAGGTCAATGGATTTCCTCATTTCTGATTCTTACCTATAGAGAAAAACCGAGGAACGTTCTCTCCATTGCTCAATGTGTGACCTAGAGCCATCTTATGATACCCACAGGAAAGGACCATGTTTCACTTCCATGGGTCATTACAGGAAACACTGATCAAAGACTTTTGTCTTGGGACACTGATGTAATCTGGACGTGAAGATTTTCCATAGCTTCGCTGCCCATCAGAGATGGATTAACGATAGATCTCTTTCTCAAAATTGGAATAACCTTACTGGGCTGTCTGTTCTAGGTAAAGGTAATGGTTGACAACTTGTGTGTGAGTGTAGTGATCCCAATTTTAATTATATGTATGTACTTATGAGCTAATATGAATAAAGAAATTTATTTTACATATAGCAATCTTACCATTGTTGTTATTGCAGATGGATCAGCAAGAGTCTTTTCATAATCATACTGAAATCAATACAATAAACAATTTTAATTGGAATCATAACAGTTCTATCCTGCAGGAGTAGAATGTGACTGATGAGAAACTCTTATTTGCACAATGGCAGACTCAGCATACAAGTTTTGTACCTTATTTCATTGAAAATAAATAAATTAATATTAATTAAGTAGACTACGTAGAATGGTTACTCTTGCAAAATTAAAAGTAAAAGTATTGTTCAAGATGCACTGCCAATCTTATACAGGATTTGAAGGCTGTTGCAGAGTCAAACTGATTTGATGCATCATGTTTTTCACCTGTAGCACATTCATCTCTATTTACAGACTATAAAGGTATTCCCTATACTATGACTATTAAGTACACGTCAATGCGAGTCCCACAGTGGTAACTAGCTTTTTAAGTGAAATGTGATACCTACCAAAAAGTCAAGGCCTTCATCATTTTTATCGTTTTCCTTGTTGACAGATACATGCATAAGTGTACGCTGATCATATTCAGAAAGTGTTGCATTCACTTGTTCCAGTTCATTTGTGGGAAGGCCACCCTTCCTTTTACGAACTCTGCATGGTTTGTACAAATTCTGAAAAATTTGTTCATGGACCTCTTCATTATTATTGTTTTATCAATAACTGTTATGATGACAACCTTATGCTGCCATAGGCTAAATTAAATGTTTATACAATAACTTTGGATAAACTAACTAAATTATTTATTACCTGAATATTGGCAATATTTTTGAGTACTTTTTCTTTTTGCATGAACATTGCCCTGTCTGACTCAAATATATGATTTTTTTCATATTGCATGACAGCAAATTTTCTAAGTTCGTCTTCCTTGGCTTCTCTAAATTCACTTGAATATTTGATCAACCACTGGATCAATGGATAAATATTTATAAAGTCCAAGCCTTGTATTTGATGAGGCTCTATTATGTATGGACATTTCATAGTAGGTAATACTTTTACAATTTTTTCTGTAAGTGCACTGTAACAAAATAGTATGAATAATGTATAAATTTCACCTTCTTATAGCAGTATATAAATCCTTCATAAATAATAGTTACTCCAATTTTCACTCTTTCGTCTAGTAACTATTGGTATTTCTTTTATTCTTGAATAAATCAATATTTTATATATGTACTTTATACTGTTCTTCTTAAGACTATCTACACCTTTTATAAAATATTTATCATCATTTGATCTTAAGATTATAACTATTATTATTGCCACTTTTACTTAAACTTTCCTACCTGATTCACATTAAAATTGATAGCTAAATTACAGATAACTTACATCTTTTTACCAATGGTTAGATTTTCCTCAAACAAAAGACTGATATCGACATCAATATCGCAAAGTTCTATACACCATGTTAGGCCTCCCACAATTTTATCAAATGCAGACAGGCCTTGAAGTTGAGCCCGATAATATCCAGCTGCTACTAGAGCATCTGATATTTCATGCCATTTGACCAACTGTTCCGCGTCTTCACGAACTTCAACCTATTTAAAAAATTGGGTTAATTAAAATTTCTTATGGTAAATACGTTGTTAAATATTAATTGCCATGTACCTCTTTCCCTTCGTGATCTACAGTGCTATATATGTTCAATAAAGGTTTAGTGCGGGTAAAAATGTTTCTTTGTTTCGCTGCCATGTTCATTGATAAAACAACAAAAAAATCTTTTACTTTCGTTGCTAGAACAAAAACTATATCTAACGTAGCGACATACTGTTTCCATGATACAATTATTTCAATTTGGCCCACAGATCTTCTTCTTCTTTTATTATGGCATGACGGCTAATGTTGCCAATTGCCATATGCAAGTTTCATCTGTTCTAATTGGGTAGCAAATCGATTAAACTTGATCGATTAAAGGAGCGGAATATGGATAGTTGGTACATGGATATGTGGTAGTTGCAGATGGAAAAAAATAAGGAAACGATATGAACAAGAAAAAAAAGGGAGATTTGCGATAAACAAGAAATAGGAACAACAGTTGAGTAGGTAGGGAAATATAGGTAAATAATGGAACTATAGTAAAAATATAAATATATAGATATACTAAATTTTTATATCATTTTTTCTGATAAACTTGGATAAACATATGTATACATCAGGATTAATATTATGTAGAAGGGAGGGAATGGACGTAGGAAAAGGAATATTTGCTGTCTTCAATGAATCTAAAAAGGCGGTTCTGTCATATCTGGGGCAAGAAAAGAAAATATGGTTAACGTCAGCATCAACCTCGCCACATTCACATGTGGACGTATCTATTATACCATATTTTGCCAAACGATCAGGAGTACAAACATTGTCCGAGGCGCATTCGGATTAAAATTGTAGTAACTAATTTACTAAACCTTAATTTGGAAAACCAAGGTTTAGTAAGTAAAGTTGGTTGTAATGAGCGATAGTACATAGCTTTTGATTTATTACTCTCCACCCATAACCTGGACCATGAATCTTGTAATGTTGTTTGTGACATATTAATTAAATCATGAGAATAGTTCTTATAATAATAAAGATCACCACATTTTACTGCGTCTCGAGCGAGATAATCGGCATATTCGTTACCAATTATGCCACAATGGCTAGGTACCCAAGCAAAAGAAACCGAATATCCTTTTAATATGCTTAAATAAAGCAACTCCCTTGTCTTTAAGATTAAAGGATAATTTTTTGATCTAAAAGGGAATTTTGCTAGCGCATATAATGAGCTTAAAGAGTCAGTAAAAATAATTGTTTGCTTTAGTTTAGCCAGTCTTATATATTCTACTGCTTTGTAGATACCGAGGCACTCGGCAGTAAAAACTGAAGTCTGTGGAGGCAGACGTATTTTTTGTTGAATCTTGTAGTTGCTGTGGAAGATTCCAACTCCAACGTCCTGCTGTGCGGTTTTAGACGCATCAGTGAATATTTTGTGCCACTGGTACCAGGTCTCATTTACTATAGCATTAAAGTAGACATTTGCATTAGCCTTATCGTCGATGTGGAGGTTATAAATTATATTAGGGTTAATAGATAAAGCATCATAATCTGTGTTAAAGATAGGAGGAATATGGAAGTGATGAACAGGAATGTCTTCAGCTTTATATCTATTAAAGGTTTTAACAAGTGGTGGAAGTCTCTTATGAGACCAATAACTAGTTGTAATTACCTTTTCTGACAAAATTCTTAATTTTTCTATAACGGGGTTGTTCGTCAATTGAACGGCCTTATAAAAATATCTGTCGGCTAAATACTGTCTACGAAGGTGTAATGGAGGATCATTGCATTCAACCTGTAACGCGCATATAGGGCTAGACCTCATGGCACCAGAAATTATTCGTAAGGCTTTTGACTGAATACCATCCAATTTCCGAAAGGCGCTAGCATTGCCTGGCTCCAACAAAAAAGTTCCATAATCTAATATGCTTCTTACAAGTGCAATGTAAAGCAATCTTAACGAAGTTGGATGGCTACCCCACCAAACGCCAGCAAGACATCTTAAAATATTAATATTACGTTCGCATTTTGCTGATATATATTCACAATGAGAATTCCCGGTGAGCTTAGTATCAAGAATGATACCTAAATACATTACTTCTTGCCTCTGCAACAGACAAGTTTCACCAAAGTATACATTTAAGTCAGGCGGGTTTCTCATCCTGGAAAAAAGCACTAAAATTGTCTTAGAAACAGACAACTCTAGGCCGTTTCTAACTAACCATTTTTTAAATAACGATAGTGAATAATTTATATCATTGTTTATGTTATTTACACACTTATTATTACAGTATAAAACTACATCATCGGCATATTGAATAACCGAGCAAGAGCTTTCTAAGGAATCTTCAAGATCATGGGTATATACATTGTAAAGCAACGGACTGATGACTGACCATTGTGGTAAGCCTTTTATCGCTGTTCTTTCAATTGTTGTATCATCTATATGAAGTATTAAATATCTCTCAGAAAACAGATTTATAATAAAATTGGTAAGCATTAAAGGGATTTGTAAATCAATTAATTTATCACGTAAAATTGATAAATTAACATTATCGTACGCTGACTTTATGTCGAGAAAGACCGCCCCAACTGATTCATTATCGGAAAACGCTATCCGGATATCTGACGTTAAAATTCCAATACAGTCCAATGTGCTCCTGTTCCTCCTAAAACCGTATTGGCTATTCGACAAAAGGTTCTTGCTCTCAACTAACCACTCTAATCTATTTTTCAATAGGTGTTCAGCTATTTTAACTAGTACTGTAGAAAGAATAATCGGACGGTAAGATGATACATCGGCAGGCGATTTATTCGGTTTTAGTAATGGCAATACTGTTTGTTGTCTCCATGATGGAGGAATATTACCTGTCAACATGACAGAATTTATAATTTGTAAATAATAATTTAGAGTATTATCACTAAGATTGGCTATAAAAGAATACGGAATATTGTCTTTACCAGGACAAGAGTCTTTAAGATTAGCAAGGATTCCTTTTAGCTCATGCATAGAAAATGGAGAATTTAAACCGGAATTATTTTGATACGGTGAAAGTATTAATAACTCTTTTACTGATGTTGGAACTAAGTTATCCATGAACTTTTCGGCTAAATCTAAAGATAGACTACAGATAGATGGTTCAGCAAAAGCCGAGCGAAATCTACGTATGTTACGCCAAACTATAGATGGATGGGTTTGAGGACAAACTGAAGCACAAAATTTTTTCCAGGACTCAGACTTTTTCCTCTTTAATGCTTTTTTAACTTCGGATGTAACCCTTAATAGAACTGCAAAGTTTTCCGTGGTCATATTTTCGCAATATTGGCGCTCAGCTTTCTTTCTCCGGGAAATCTCCAAAGTACAATCTCTGTCCCACCAGGGTGGGGAGGGTATTAAATTACTACCAGATTTTTTAATAGGAAATATGCTATCAGCAACTTCAATCATACATCTAGCCAAAGCTGTAGAGCATTCATCTTCATTACCATTTTCCAAGATAGGTAGTGTTGAAAATTTTTCTTCCACTTGGTTTTTGTATACAGAAAAATTTACATTATGAAGTTTATATTTATGAAATGTTTTTATCTTAACAAATCTTTTATTTGCAAATGGAAAGGTTATTATTATTGGAAAATGATCACTTCCAAAAGATGAGGTGAGAGGATGCCAGAGTAAGGATGATGCAAGGCTAGGTGTACAAATTGAGAGGTCAACAGCACTAATAAAATCTGTAGGGCTAGTAAGACGGGTAGGAATACCAGTGTTAAGTAAACACAAATTGTTTTTGTCCAATATGTCCATTAGTTGCTCTCCTACATTATTTGTAATTGAACTGCCCCAAGACTGGTGGTGACAGTTGAAATCACCAAGCACTATAAACGGTTTTGGAAGTTGAGATAGAAGGTTATTGATTTCAATCAAAATAGATGTAGTTGGGTGAGGTACATATATTGACATAAAACAGATATTATTTACAATTGCAGCAATGGCAGAGTATTCGCTACAAGGTGCAGGTAATGAAAAAAGTCTATATTGGTAAAAATCCTTTATCAATAGAGCAACACCCCCATGGCCATCTGCTCTATCTTGTCTTAAACAATAATATCCTGGTATTTTGAAATTAAATCCTAATTTTAACCAGGTTTCTGAAAGTGCTATAATAAATGGATTGTATGTATTTATTAAATAAATAAGATCAGTTTTCTTGTTATTGATGCTGCGGCAATTCCATTGAATTATTTTGGCCAATTGAGCCATGATTTGGGTTTGTAATTTTATTAATAAGATCTAGTAAAGGAGCAACGTGGGACGGTTCATAATTATTAAATTGAGTTAAAAAATTTATTAGAGGGACAATTACATCTGTAATTGTCAAATTTGAATTCCTGTTAAATTCATGTTCAATAGCAGTACCATTACCACTATTGTTGGGCATATCATAATCTTTGATCATATTCATATGTTCTGCTTGATTAAACCCCATATGAAAAGTAGGTGAACAAACTTTAGGTTTCATGAAGACAGTTTTTTTATAAGAATTGTTATGTTGAGTTGCATTATTAATTGGTGTAGTTTTAAAATTAGAGGATGCCTTAGTTGGCTGGGATGTTAGTACTTCAGAATAAGATTTATTTACAGAAGGATGTAATTTTGCTGCCTCAAAATAAGAAGTATTATCATTAGCCATAGTCACTTTTATACGCCTTTGTCTTTCATATTCAGGACAAATTCGTTTATTAGCAAAGTGGGAACCAGAGCAATTACAACAATGTGCATTTTCTTCCTTAACTGAACATGTATCACCAGTATGATCCTGGCCACACTTATAGCAGCGAGGTTTAGACCTGCACTGCAGTTTAGTGTGCCCAAAACGACAGCAGTTAAAACATTGGACTGTTGGATATATATAGCAGTCTACAACTAATGCATTATAACATAAAAATACACGTGAAGGAAGTACTTGGCCATCAAAGGTAATAACTACTGACTGGGTAGGTTTCCATGTTACAGTATTATCAATAAAAACTTTATGGTTAATACGTCTTATTTTGATTATCTCCCCGCAGCCTACAGGAAGAGTGATTTTTTCTTTTATTTCTTCAGGAGTCCAATCTTGTGGAACTCCACGCACAAGACCCATTCGGGTTATGTTGAAAGAAGGAACAAAAGCTTTATAATTATTATCATGTAATCTCGTATCACATAAGAAATGATTAGCAGCTTCAAATTTTTTAAAAGCTATTACAATTCGGTTTCTCCCAATTTTTTTAACACTGCCATCTACTATGGATTGAAAGTTATTATTTTAAGAAAGTAACCAAAATTCACGGGGTGTAGGGTGGAAGAGTCATTAAAAGCTGTCTGCTCACGCTGGACATGCACAATGAAAGGAGGAAAATCATTTTTGTCATAAAATTTACGACTACTCACTTCAGGTTGAGGCTGATTTAAAATGCTATTCGCGTTTAATGGAGGTGCAGTATGAGGGGTCGTTTGTTTATTATCAGTAATTGCAGACTCGATAGAACTTTCAGATTCACAAAGACATCCTACATTCTTTCCCGCCATTTTGTTTTTCCGCTTTTTCTTATTACAATTTTTACATATTTTAACAGATTTACTCCTTTTCCTAGTCGGCGGAGCAGACCAATCTACAATAGTATTGACTGTTTGGTCAGTATCTACACTAGATTCACCTTGACTCATAACAGTAACATAAGCGACAGAGGGAACCGCAAATTGTCCTGTATTAGAAGCGGAATCCCCTGGGTCAGGGGGTTCGTTCATTGTAAATATTATTTAAACGACTTACCAGGCGATGAAGTTACTAAAAATACACTACACAGATATAAATATACAATTAAATATAACTACGCTACTCAACTGGTTGAAAAACAAATGAATTTTAATAAAATTAATTTCAAAAGGTAAAAACACGCCCGCCTACTTCAACGTTTCCCGCCTTTTCGGCCCACAGATCACTATTTATGTAGCAAGCATTTAGACCACAGAGTCACAGACAGACCAATGAGTTTTTTTTTTTAATATTTATTCATGACCTGGATACAGAGTCCTTCAGTCGATACAGTCCTTCAGTCGAAGACCAATGAGAGTACATACAAGTTTAGGGTGCGGCCAGAGTGCACTCAGATTCAGATTCAGATTCAGATTTCGAAAACAAGCGCGAGAAATAAACAGTGTAGTCGAAGGATACGGCCAGATTGCACTCCTGATTCAGATTCAGATTCAGACTCAGAAAACAAAGCGCGAGAAAAAGCAGGCAACCTGCTTAGACTACACTGTTTATTTCTCGCGCTTGTTTTCGAAATCTGAATCTGAGTCTGAATCTGAGTGCACTCTGGCCGCACCCTTAGGGTCAGAGTCAGACAGCCAACCAAGTGCCGTAGGGTACGGGTGCGGCCAGAGTGCACTCAGATTCAGATTCAGATTTCGAAAACAAGCGCGAGAAATAAACAGTGTAGTCGAAGGGTACGGCCAGATTGCACTCCTGATTTAGATTCAGATTCAGACTCAGAAAACAAAGCGCGAGAAAAAGCAGGCAACCTGCTTAGACTACACTGTTTATTTCTCGCGCTTGTTTTCAGAATCTGAATCTGACTCTGAATCTGAGTGCACTCTGGCCGCACCCAAAGGCCAGAGTGCACTCAGATTCAGATTCAGATTCCGAAAACAAGCGCGAGAAATAAACAGTGTAGTCTAAGCAGATTGCCTGATTTTTCTCGCGCTTTGTTTTCTGAGTCTGAATCTGAATCAGGAGTGCACTCTGGCCGTACCCTTCGACTACACTGTTTATTTCTCGCGCTTGTTTTCAGAATCTGAATCTGACTCTGAATCTGAGTGCACTCTGGCCGCACCCTAAGGACGCAAAATACGAACCAGTAACTACTCGATTATTTTCTTTCGATACCAAGTACTTTTGGCATCAATACTTTCTTAGAGCATATACTTCTGGAGATGGCATGGACGGACGAACCCCTCCGCCAAAACGATCATGGCCAATGGCCATGATCCTTACATAAAACTAGTTCACGCGCGACCGCTACCATTAAGGATCGTTCCGCAGCGTGAGTCGGATCTCCCACAAAAATAGAAAATTATTTATTTATTTGTACACACACAATAAAATATTAGAAAAAAAAGAGAAACAAGAGACATGTACAAGGGCACTGCTTATTTCATTATGAAATTTCTTCCAGCAGGCCCACGAAAGGAAAGGACATATAAAAAGGCAGTCAGTGTGTGCTCCTGAATAAATATAACATAATACATACATATGCAATACATACATATACATAGAATACATATATATAGAATACATATATATATATATTAACAAATAAATTAATATACAGGGTGGTCAAAAAGTCGTGAATCAAACGAAACAGGGAGATAAAGAAGGTTATTTCCAACAAAAAATCTTTCTACAGTATGGCCATAACTTCATTGCACGAAAAGTTATGATTTTTTTTTTTAATGAATCTACGGAGTTTTTTTACAATTTAATCAATAAAAACATTAATTGATTAAACACAATAAAACAAAAGGTGTTGTATTATGACCGCATTATGTATCAATACTACAAAAATTGTATTGGAGCTCTCGGTACCAAATTTAACGAGCAATGAATTTTTTTTCGTAAATTTTGAAGCGTTACAAACAATTACTTCTCACTTTAAGAGCAACTTGTGAAAAGAAAATGTATTACTGAAAAGTGACCCTGTATTAAAAAAAACTTGCTGATTTAATGCTGATTCAAATGAGGTACAACACTTTACTGTGTGACCTTTAGTTTCGGTTTTATGGTCGTTTTTTCATGTCAAGGTGCAAATTTATAAAATGGTAAATTGAAAGGAAAATTTAGATTCTTGCTCATACATACTATGTAGTAATTTCAGAAGTCATCATGAAATAAAAAGAACAATTATGACTTAGTAATTTTATTACAATTAAAATGTTTACATTAAATGTTCAAAGTTCCTACCTCTGACCATAATGCACAATCTGCACCGCCTAATAAAATTCGCACGTAATCGGTGGAATGCACCTCTGGTATTAACAATTTGTAACCTAGCGAACTCGAGCTTTTGTCGTAGTTCTTGTTCCGAGTTATTCTCTCCTTGATACACTATTTCTTTAAAATAGCCCCAAACAAAAAAGTCTATTGGGTTAAGGTCGGGCGACCGGGGTGGCCATGCAATAGGTCCGCCTCGACCAATCCACCGGTTAGGGAAGCGCTCGTTCAAATGTCCTCGAACTGCTCGAGCATAATGAGGCGGGGCGCCGTCTTGTTGCAGCCACATTTCTGCCACTCTATCTTCAGGAATCTTAGCTTCGTTGAGTATTTGGTTCAAATTATTCTGTAAAAAATTCAAAGGTGCCCTGTGCACCATTCAGCATTGGTGGCAGTTCATGTAGCACATTCTTCTGGTCAATTATTCCAGCCCACATGTTTATACCAAACAAACCTTTTGACCTTTTGTTTCCTAGAAAAGATAAATCGTTACTTGAACTAAGACACTTTTTGACAAAGGATTAAATGGTTAGTGTGAAAGAGTATCTGTCCATTTCATAAATTCTAAGTGGGACAAGAACAGAACATTTCTAGCGTTCCAACGTACAAAAAACTAGCCGTTTATGATCAACTAGTAAATTATTTGAATAAGGTTAATTTAATGAAATTTGCACCTTGATATGAAAAAACGACCATAAAACCGAAACTAAAGGTCACACAGTAAAGTGTTGTACCTCATTTGAATCAGCATTAAATCAGCAAGTTTTTTTAATACAGGGTCACTTTTCAGTAATACATTTTCTTTTCACAAGGTGCTCTTAAAAGGAGAAGTAATTCTTTGTAACGCTTCAAAATTTACGAAAAAAAATTCATTGCTCGTTAAATTTGATACCGAGACCTCCAATACAATTATTGTAGTATTGATACATAATCCGGTCATAATACAACACCTTTTGTTCTATTGTGTTTAATCAATTAATTTTTTTATTGATTAAATTGTAAAAAAAACTCGGTAGATTCATTGAAAAAAACAAAAATATTCATAACTTTTCGTGCAATGAAGTTATGGCCATGCTGTAGAAAGATTTTTTGTTGGTAATAACCTTCTTTATCTCCCTGTTTCGTTTGATCCACGACTTTTTGACCACCCTGTATATTAATATAAAATAAATAAAAACTAACTAGGAGAAGCAATAAAGTTTAGATAGTCAAGTAGAAAGGTAGTGTTCCTTCAATCGTTTTTTAAAGGTAGAAATGGTCTGGGCGTCTCTGATATCTGCTGGCAACGAGTTCCATAAGCGGATGGCATGTACTGTAAAAGAGTAGGATGCAAAGTCAGTTTTGTGAGTAGGACATTTGAGAAGGAATTTTAGGTTTGACCGGCAAGGAACATCAGGCGAGTGGACGAAAGAAAACCGCTCTCGAAGATAGGAAGGATATAAAGGATTGTAAAGGATGTTGAAAAGGAGACAAAGGATTCTGACATTCCTGCGCAGACTTAAGGGGAGCCACTTGAGTTCCTTTCGAAAGTTGGAGACGTGATCGTACTTACGAAGACCAAAGATGAATCGGATGGCAAGATTCTGCAGGCGCTCAAGTTTGTTAAGCAAAATCTCCGTAGCATCTAAATAGCAAGCATCGGCATAATCGAGAAGGGGTAGAATAAGAGATTGTGCAAGAGCAATTTTAGAATGTAGAGGAAGAAAATTTTGTAAACATTTTAAGGTGTGAAGTGAAAAATACATTTTGCGACTTACATAAGTGACGTGGGCTGTCCATGAGAGATTGGAATCAATTGTCACTCCGAGATTTTTCACCGTTTCGCTGTAAGGAATATTGATTCCACATATTGAAATTGGTGGCAAATTAAAGGAACGGATATAATTAGACATATACCTACTCCCTATGATGATCGCCTGTGATTTACAGGAATTAACTGAGAGACCATAATATTTTGCCCAAGTACTGATACGGTTAAGGTCTTCATTAACGGCTGCTATTGTGGAGTCCGCTTCGTCAATATTGAAATGGCGATAAAGCTGCAAGTCATCTGCGTAGATATGGAACTTGGAGGAGATAACTCTTATAACTGAGTTGATAAAAATGGAGAATAGGAGTGGCGAGAGAACACCTCCCTGAGGTACACCCACACTGAGTTCACACCCATCAGAGGTTGTGTCATCAAGACGAACACACTGCGAGCGACCCCGAAGATAGGAATCAAACCAAGAAAGAGCAGAAGAAGAGACATTTAAAGAATGAAGAATAGCAAGGAGAATGTCAAAATTTACGGAACTGAATGCATTGCTAAAATCTAACAATACTAGGACAGTAAGTGCTTTGTTATCCATTGCCCAGCGATATCATCAGTGACATTCACTAAGGCAGTGGTCGTACTGTGTCCTGGCCGAAACCCGGACTGATAACGATTAAGGAGGCTATTGGAAAGAAGAAATTGAGAAATTTGTTTGTGGACTATGTGCTCTTTGGAAAGAAAAGGTAAGATGGAAATGGGACGAAAGTGGCAAGGTAAAGAAGGATTGGAAATTTTAGGTAAAGGAATAATGTGTGCCTTTTTCCAAATTTTGGGAAAACATTTGAATGACAAAGAGTAGTTAAAGATGTGGGCTAGGACAGGGAGAAGAGTAGAAAGAATAGGAATAAACATTCTCGAGCTCAAATTGTCGTCGCCAACGGACTCGGAAGATATGGACAGAATAGAATTCTTGACGTCAGTTTCAGAAATCATCGAAAAGTCAAATAGAGGGCAGTTGGGTCTAGCAAGTTCTGATAGTTTTTTAAGAGCAATATCCTTGTCGCTGCTATCAATACTGACTGGAGAGAGAGAAAAATGTCTGTTTAAAGCATTTATGTCAGTGCCAGTTGGGACAGAGGAACAAGGCTTGCCCACACCGACTGATCGAAGGAAACACCAGGTATCTGCTGTATTGCGGTTACTGAGAGAATCATGAAAAAGCCGTCTCTTAGCATTCCTACACATACGACTGCAGCGATTGCGAAGGGCCTTATAGCGAACCAGGTTGTCATCAGAGGGGCGGTTTTTAACTCTCCGTTTCGCTTTATCCCTCAGTGCCATTAGTTCCTTGATTTCTTCGTTGATCCACGGAGCCGGTTTATGTCTAATTTTAAAGATGCGTGCAGGTCATATAAGCCAAGTAACAGTGAATTAAATTTACTGACTTTTTCATCAATGGTGGGAGCCTGCAACACTAAAGACCAATCCACATTTTCAGCATCACGTCGCAAATAATTCAAATTAACCCTCTATTGCATGAATTATTAAATTAAAAAGAAAAAAAATATTTTTATGTTTTAATGATAAGATAAATATAAAGTGAAAAAAAATATAGTACCTTATTTTGGAAAAAAAAACAGAAGCCAAAATTGACTTCCCATGCAATAACGTCTGTGTATAAGACTGCCATTTTTGGCTTCCAATGCACAACAAATACCAAAACTCATACAACGTGAAATTCTCTAAAACAGTTTCTTTTCTCATTCAAGCAAAGAAAAACGTCACATTTCTCACATTTTGTATGAGAACGCAAAGAACAATAATTCAGACATATTTGATGATTCTTTCAGTGTATTGGTAAATGGTCAATTTTGTCTCTACGTACTGAATTTAGAGAGGTCTTGCACTGTTGCTGGGGTTTTCCGTGCCCTCTTTCGAGGAGAGGGAGATACATTTTTACTGGTAGTAGTATCCGTTGTACTTGACGTAGGAGTAGTTCCTCTAGACAAGGTAGTTGTACCGGGATTACTGATACTAGGACGGCCTCTTTTTCTTGAGATGCTTTTGCCAGCCTTGCAATAATGTTCAGAAATAGCGAGTTTGAAGTCAAATAGTGACAAGTATAGGTCAGTTTGCATCACCACAGTAACCAAGCATTAACTGCACATATACCAAGTGGACTGTTCCGTAATAAATATTATCAAATCTTCTGTGAAAAAAATTGGATAAATTCGGCAGGTGATTCTAATTCCTGAGTAAACTCTGATAGTTCCAGGATACCACTAAAATTGTATTCATCATACGCTGGCCTTTGGACCAGATAATTTTTTCCTTAACTGGTCTCTTCTGTTTGAGGTTTCGGATGGTGGAATAATTATAAGTTTTTAAATGTTTGATTGCGCAAGCGCGAAAGCGGGACATTGTCATCAGAATCAGATAATGAATCATCGTTACTAAGAAAGCCATCACCAGGAATAGGTTTAATGCAGTAAGCAGTGCCATAAAATCGTGATGGAAGCATTCTGGAAAGCTAGGAAAAAGAACTCTGAATGCATGCCATGCCATGCTCTGAAGCCATTTTAGGCACAAGAATACTTCATCGTAAATGCATACGAAGCCAAAATTGGCTCACGTAGAAAATAGTGTAAATGAAGTATAAGGAACAAATATTTCGAATAAACTGTGATAGGGGTCAAAAACAGAGGTTTTGCAGAATATTATTTATATTTTTTAACATCAATTTTCTTACCTTTTCTATTTAATTTCAACCAACAAAACTGCAATAAATTTCACTAAGAACGACTTCGCGTACGCACCGGAGAAAAGTGAGCTAATAATGACATACAACGTTGGCCCTAGACAATAAAAATTAGGTTTCGTTTCAGTTTGAATTTCTTAATATTACTATAGTGAACTTTTATAATTTTGTTTAAATTAGGGTAGAAATAAATTATTAAAGTTGAGCAGCCTAAAATGGCTTTGTATGCAATAGAGGGTATACCTTTGTAGTTTCGCCGCATTATATATTGGGGTTTACGTTTGGGTGGTTTAAATTTATATGAAAGGAAGACGAGATCGTGATAGGAAAAACTTGCAGTCATTTGCCCGTGAGTTACCACTTTCTCTGGAGAAGAAATTATAATTAGGTCAAGTTATTTGGGCACGCAATTAGGAAAATGGTGAGTGGAAGATGTAGGAAGAACATGCAAATTGTAAGAAGAAATAATAGATTGAAGTTTAGAAGAAAGTTGGTCTATAAGCATCAAGGAGTTTATCGAAAGTATCAAAGTAGTCGATATATAGATTAGGAGAGTAGAAGACACCGAGAAGTAATTTTGTTTGGCGAATAGATACTTCTAAAAACAAATGCTCAGCTACCGCACTATAAGCAGATGGAGAAGTGCTAATAACACGGAACGGAATATCGGTGCGAAGGTAGATTGCTACTCCACCACCACCCTTGCCGGTCCTATCATTGCGAATAAGGTTAAATCCTGGAAGTGCGAACTGAGATGAAGGAAGAGAAGGTTTAAGGAAGGATTCGGTTACAAGAAAAGCATCGACTGTCGAGCTGTTAATAGACGCCAGAAGATTTGAGTGATGCGCAGGAATGCTTTGGACAT